ATAATCTTTTGATTAACCTTACGCTATAATTACTTAAAATAAACAAAAATAATTGACTATTTATTATTGTTCAACTATTTAAACTGATCAATGTTAAAAGTCTTATCAAGTTTAGTTGGATTTTGAAATTACATAGTAAAATACTCTTATCCAATATTATTATTATGAATTCACATTCATCACTCTATTAAATTAGAAATCATTGTTCTATTATAAATTTATGTCAAGTTATTATTCTAACAGAACAATTACATTTACAGATGATGATTAAATCAAAACAATTGATAGTATCTACTTAAATTAATAGTATTTACTACTATTTTCTAAAGCAGCAAAAACTATAGGAGTCTATAATTATTAGAATGTTGATTTTCTTTACTTAATAAATACTGATAAATTAAGTTAATTAGGATTTCTTAATTGGGATCCATAGAGATTATTTACAAATGATTTTAATTAACTTTTGTTTGTAATTAATGGTTAAGAATAGAATCAACTTTTGATGTTGAATTTAACTAGAACAGAATTCTCTTTAGGACATATCATGTCCATTTCATAATCTTAAGATATACGAGTTATCAATTTTTATGAACGATTTGCTATTCTTTAATAGTAAGATAAAGGAAAATTTACATTTTAAATTTACAATAGAGAAGATCCTACAAATATATATCTTGAAAAAACTCCATCTTTTTATAATTATTAAATTGAAAGTATTGACTCATTCTTTTGGGTTTCATATAATAATTTATTACATGTAAAAGCAAAATCAGAATTCAAATCTGTTATTTTATCATATATTGTTGAATTAACTGATCACAATTCATTATATTGTGTATAAGATTGGGATCCAGCTAATCAATTTGTGACAGCAACTTAAAATACTATATTCTAATTTAATAAAGAAAATATTTGGGTATATTATATATAAAGATATCCTTAATTGTAATATTCAGTGAGTTTTGATGATAACACTTTCATTTCTAATTTAGATTATGTAATAAGTTATTCAAATGAATAAATTTTATTGCTTAAAAGGAGCTTTAGATTAGTTAACACTTATATTGATTTGAAAATTAAATAGGATAAATTGAATATCACAACTAATTTAACAACCAATCAAGAACATAATTATATTTAAGATATGGGTAGTGATTGGTTTTAAGGAGAGGTCACTAAATTTGAATTATTTATACCTCAATTTAAAGATCAAAAAGCAGAAATAATAAATCCTATTGAAGTTGTAAAACCATATTATCAAAATGATACTAAAAATGCTGTTGATTTTGGTACAAATTATATTTTTGTTCTAAAAAATGAATCCTATCTTCTTATTAGTAAAAAAACAAATGAAGTTGTAGTTACTGAAAAAATCACAAAAGATTATATATGTGAAGACATAATATCAAGTTTTGATTAATAAGTCTTGATTTAATGCTATAAAGATAAAATATAGTATGTTGGTGGAATTCAATGTGAAAATACTAATTGTAAAATAGGTAGCTCTTGGCTATAAATAAATGATGAGATAATATCTGGATATATGGATACTGAAAATATCTTTATTATTTTGAGACAGGTAATCTTGGCATACTCCAAAAACCTTCTAGATTTATCTAAAGCTTAAAATTATGGTAAAATAAAGGTAGATGATTTGGATAATTACTAATATGGATTAACTATATCCAAAATTAAAAATAATCACTATCATGTTTACTGTACTGATTATTATTATGCTTTTATTGTACTTGAATATAGTATTAAAAATGATCAAATATAAAGAACTAACAAAATTACATTCAATTTATTTGATTTTATAAATCAAGACTTCTATATATTAAAAGAGACTATTTTCTCTTGCATCAGAACAATTAATGCTTAGACTACTGACACATCATTTAAGGCAGACTTCATTATTTTTGCCACTATTGGTCCTCATTATGGAATGCACATTGAATTTTCTTGTACTGCTGATTAATGCAATTTATAATCTAAAAAAATAGTCTTTGTTTTATAAGGCTATGGATCATTTAATATTTTGGGCTACATATTTTCAACTGTTAGAATAGTTAATAATTTCATTTAGGTTTCTTATACAGATTCTGCAAGAATGAAATTAGTTTAAACAATCTATTAATTACCTAAAGTATAATAGACTCATTCAGCAGTAATCTTTTTTGCAGCCTTAAGACCTACATTCTATAATTATAAATATGAAATATAATAGGAATTGTACTCATACGATAATTAAGTAATTTTATTTATTTATAAATTAGTTATATTACCTTACTAATTCAGAGAAGCTTAATTCATTAGCTTTGTATAAAATTAATTCATCTCCATAACTTTTGATTGATGGAAAATTTGACAGATCTACAGGATATATTAGAGTTGCCAATGATTTCTCATTTGATTAAATACCCATTACTATTAGAGGTCCAGGTAGTAATGATGATGATGATGATCCCAATAGTGATACTAGTACTCATACAGGACTATGGGTAACTTTGGGTATATTAGGAGGTTGTATAATTATTGGAACTGGATATTACTGTTACAAAAAGAAGAAAACAAAAGTAGAGACTTTAATATGATATTTAATTTTTAAGTTATTAATAAATTAATAAACTTACAAATTTTTGTAAAAGTTGTAATTTCATAATACTTTATTTATAATAATCTTTTGTTTTCTAATTGTTAGATGATTATTATCATATTTTATTATCTTATTTTAATATTAATCATAAAAACAGTCATATAATTTTGAGTTTATTTTTCTAATCTTTTCATAAAAACAAATGTATAATTAAATGTAAATAGAAGTTTATATTTATTTTGTATTTAATAATATCATTTTTTTGTACTGTTTTTCAATTTTTAGTCAATATTTTTGAAATAAGTATTTTAAATTCTTTATGATAATGTTCTTTATTTTTTATTTTCTGGAGATTTGTATCTACTAGTAAGAGGAGGAGCTAATTTTAATGATAACTTTTTATCAAAGATATCCTAAAAATTCAAAGGATTTGAAACTCCCAATTTAGTAATATTTGATACTCGAGGATAATAAAATGTTTTTCTTTTTATTGCTAGTTATTAATTTCCAAGAATTGGTTCAGTTTTAATTCTTTATCCAAATAATTGATTATGCATATCTTTTTAATCTGATGTCTTTTAATTATTTTACATTGGTGTTAAATCTGTAAGAGTATTAGGAGATGATTGAAATAACTATTATTATATATTATTAGATAACATAAGTTTAGAGATTGCACTTTTGACATACACCATTTATAAAATTTAAGACATTGGTTTGAATTTGGATTTAATAACATTATTAGTAGTTGAATGACTAAAATTATGTTTAAGTTGTACATGGATGCAGTTCCACTTGATTTAAGTAAATTTTCTTGATTTTTAGGAGTTCTTTCTAATTCATGTAATTTTATTTATATAGGTTTCTAGATTATGTTATTATCAGTTTCATTCTTTATTAACAGTTTCTTACGAATATTGCCACCACATTCATTACAATGGCAACTAAGATTCATTGATCTTTCTTCAAATAAGACCTATTTTAATTGCTGAAAAGAATGACTAGGCTTAAGTGTTTTTTAGTTTTTTGATAATGAATAGACTTTGTATTTACTTTCTTGTTTGTATGTTCTTTTTCGATACTTTGTTTTACAATAGACATCGAGATTCTTTGCTAATGATTTATTATCAAATATATTCATAATTATTGTAAAATGTTTTTAAATGCATCCAGATCAGATAATTAATATTTCAATTCCTCTGCTGTAAATTTACATTGAATCTTTTTTACTGTGATTTTAAATCCCATTTTTTATTGTTTCACTTCTTTTGTAGTAAGTAGGTTATAATCTTTTAATAAATTAATTTCCTCTTCTACATCCACACTTAAAGGTAAACATAATTTATATTTAATTTCATTAACCTTTCTTATAAGATCAGATAAATCTATTTCAATTTAACTAGTATCTTTTTTTAATAATGCTGTAATCCCTAATAATATTAATTATTGATGTAATGACAATGTTGTTACAACACTCTTCATTTTGTTATCAAAAACAGTCATACCAATTTCTTTATTGACAGCATCTGTAGTTATTTCATCTTTATCTCTTAAAGTCCTTTTAACTATGTCGATTATATTTCTCATATCACCACCCTTATCATTATAAGCTCTAGTTGTAAGTATTTTAATAGCATTTTCATCATATTTTCTATATATAAATAAATTATTACTATATTTCAATTTATTTTAATATATCTAAAACTAATTCTTATAACTATTAGATAGTATAAGGTTTCAAAATTAAATTTTTAAATTAAGGGAGCTAAAATTTATATCTCACTGATTAAGTTTATAGAAATTCTATATCATTACTAATTCCAATAATGATTGCATATTTTGATAAAGAGAATAAATCAAAGGCTTCTTTTTCACTTACTTTGAATAAATTATCAAATTCATCAATTGTAATTATACTATTATTTATTAAATATAATAATACGTATTTGATTCTTTAAGTGTATCCATAATTATTTTACGTGCTTATTATTTATTAGAAGTACTCTTTACATTCAATTACTTTTTACAAATGTTTAAAAATTCTGTATAATTTTTACATTACATTGCATTTATATAGATAGTAGTATAATTATTCTACCATTATTTAAGACATTTAGTTAATAACATAGTTTTTCCACATCCAGGTTAACCAGTAATCATCAGAAACTTTTATTCATTTTGAGATGCTATAAATTATTGTATTTCAAATTCTTCTATCTCTCTAAATTTCATTCTTTTAATGAGTTCAGTCACATTACTTTGAGTGTTTTCTAAATCTTCATAAGCATTGGGTTATTTCTTATTATTTTATAAATCATCTTAAGGTATTTATCTTTTCTTTTTCATTAATTTATATATTATGGCGCTTAAATTAGCGTACCATTTACATATATAATATAAATTATCAAATTTCTTTTTTCTTTTAACTTTTTTATCTGGCCATTAATCTATCCTATATAGACTTTGATTAATTTTGTAATTATGATTCCACTACATTCTATTTGACTTAATGTTCCTCTTTTAGTAATAATTTAGGAATAGGTGTTTCATTATTTTCATTTCTAAATTCTATTTTTGGTGATCTCTTTTTAGAAGATGATTCATCCAATTTTTATATTACTTTTGTTTCATTAAATTAATTTTATGGAGATTCATGATTTTTCATAATTATATCAGGATTATCTTTATTCTTTTTACCTTCTTCTATAAATGTTTGAAGTTAAATAACTAATTTCTTATTATCAATTTATTAAAATTGATCTTCATTTTTAGGTGTAGCATATTCTGTTGGTTTATCAATTCTATCATTAAAATCTTCAAAATCTTTAAAATAACTAACATCACTACTCATAATTTATATAGGTTATTGACTAATCATTAATATTCATTCTTTACATTTTTCTTTCTGAAGATTATAATGATCTTGGTTCTCTTTATGTAAACTTATCTGCTTATTATACTATATTCTTAATTTTATCTAAAAAATAATATTTAATTGGATCCATTAAAGTATCATATTATTAAACACATTCTTAATACATTCCTACTAATTAATCTACCATATTAATTTATTTTATTGGAGACAAATTAAATTTATTCTCCATTGTAGACATAGTTAAAAAAAATTATTTCGTTAAATTTATTTTCTTTTATGTTCCTTATTATACTTCTTTTTGATTCTATTTATACAAAAACTCTGGAGTCATGAATTATTCATCTATATAAAATGCTCCTTTTTAGCCAGATTTGTTTTCTTCTTCTCCTTTCTTCCCTTAAATACTCTCAAATGCCTATTTAAATATTCTCATTAAATTTATTAAATATATTATAAATTCATTTCTTTTTTATTTCCACATCCTTGGTAGAAGCATATTCACTCCAACTTCCATCATATAATGAAATATTTTTCAATCCTATTCTTTCTAATGCAACATAAATCACTGCTGCTGTTACTCCTGATCCACATGAACATACTATATTTCTATTCAAATCTACATTAAGACTATTGAGAATTTCTTTAATTTCTTCAGCCTAATTTATTAATTAAATATAATACAGTCTTCATCAATCCTGTTTGTTAATCAATTAATTGACTGAAAGGTAATGAATTTGAATATGGCATATGACCACTAGATAATCCAGCTCTAGGTTCAGGTACTTCACCATTAAATCTTGGAGCAGGTCTAGCATCCAAAACTTAATCTCCTCTCTTTCCTTTATTTTAATTCTCTATATTTTTAAGTATAAAATCAAGCTCTCTTAACATATGAGGTTAAGGAGTTGCTTTATATTTGGCTTCCTTTATTAAAGGTGGAGCATCAGAAACTGCACAATTTTCTCGAACCCAAGCTGGAAATCCACCATCTAAGACTGCTATATCTTTGTGTCCAAAGTATTTGAATTGCCAATAAACTCTTGCAGATGAAAAGATATTCATTCCATCATAAACCACTATTTGATCATTATTACTAATTCCCATATCAGATACAGACCTTATATACAATATATGATGTACCTTTCAAAATCTTCTTTTTTTGGAAGCATATGAGGTAAACTAGTTTCTTAAAGACTGTTTGCATCAATATCAAAACGGATTGCTCCAGGAATATGTGATTTTTTATATTCTAATTCTGCATTGCGATTCATTTGAGGAAGGTACCATGAGCAATCTATTTTTAACTTTTGTTTTACCTAAGACTTTGACTTTATTGAGATTTTATTTCAAATATTGTACTGAGACTAATGGTGAAGGGAAAGTCGAAAAGGCATATCTTGCAGATCTGACAAACATTTTTAATATGATAATATGTAATATTTACAATTTCTAATTTTGATTTTTATATTGAAATATTCTATATTCAAATCAAATATGAATATATGTAATTATCAGAAAAATTGATTGCGAGAGTATTTGTGATAATATTATGCCTTTTGTCAATCACAGGGTCTATTTTAATTTTATGGACATTCTTTAGAACACCTAGATTAAGCAAAAACCCAGGGAGTATTATTTAAAGAATGACCATTGCTTAAATTGTATTGAAAAGAATGTTATTAGATAATTACTTTTTTGATGTTATTTGCACAATTTTACATTGAATCTAAAGATAAAATAACTGGTGGTGCCTTTGTAATATCTTCAAATTTTTGCTCATTTCTAGGGTTCATTGAGATATTTTTCTCATCTGAATATATACTCTATAATGTCTATTTTCCAATAAATCTATACTGTTCACTAAAAAAATAAGACTATAACTTTACTAAATACTTTAAGTTTATGGAAATATTCTCATTAATATTTTCATTTCTATTTACTTTGACTATGTTCTTTGTTAAAGATGTCAAAATAAAGTATCAAACATATATATTATTAGTTTTGTTGGAGTATGTGGTTTATTATTAAATGAATTATCCATACCTTTAAGTGTTATTTTGGCATTCATAACATTAACCATTTTAATATTGCTTGTTTTCATAATCACTGAAAAATCATCATTTAAAACGACTCTTTATAATAAAGATTCAGAAAAATTTCATAAGAAATATCATAAAGAATTCATAATTGTTAATACACTCTATACAACAGTATTTCTAGTCACTTATATGATTCCCTCATGCCTTATATTTTGGACTTAATTAATTCCTGGTGATGAAAATCGTTTCTATTCTTTTCCAATTATCTATCCCTTAGGAGGTATATTACTTTTCTTGATCAGAATAAATGATCCAATTGTAAAAAAGTATATATATACAATAATTATGGGAAAGAAAAAAAAAAATTATAATTTTAAATTAAAGGATAAACTGTTATAAAAAGAAGATGTAAAAAATTAAATTATATTAGTTTAATGGCATTGAATAGATTAGTCTTAATCCTGGACTTGAAATTAGTGTTAGTTAAAATAAGAAACTTAAATATACAGTAAAATCAATGTTTAGTGAGAAATAATTATAATCAGAAATTATACTATCATCAAGTTTAGGAAATGGAATTCAAAATAAATTGATTAAGAATAATTAAGAATTATTTATTGTATTACTTTCAATTAAAAATGTCATCAATTAATGTATTCAAGAAAAGTAATCAATATTGAAAACTTTAAAACCATTTAATTTTATACATATTACAAAATATTAATTATATTTATAAGATGATTATAAAGAGTTAGATTAGAAATACAAAAATTATAATGTATAATTATTATTAATAATTTTAGAATCTATGTTTAAAGGATTATGTTAATTAAATTTGTTATAAAAGAGTTATAAATTGTTATAGTTATGCAAGCTAGACTTTGATTCATCTCTTTAGTTAAATATTAAATATTGATTTAAATCAATTAAAAATTAGTTTAAGTATTGAATAGAATACTAAGAAATTAATTAATACTAAATTATCTTAATCTTATGGATCCATTTTCATTACTTATGATAATTATTTTTCTATTGAAATCATTTCAAAATAACACAAACTGCTCTTAACAAAGGGTGGAGGATTGATGAATATTTGTAAACGATATTAAACTGAATATAGTAAGTAAAAAAATGGTAATACATTATTACCTGCTATATTTGGATTATATACAATTTAAATTGAAGAAGATAGATATATTAATGTTGTTTTAAAATTAAATTAAATAAAAATAAACTATCCTTTATAATTAAATTTTTTTAATATTCCAGAAGAATAAGATTAATTAATTTAATAAGATGTATTTGGATGGATATAATTAAGTTTAGATAAAGGTTAATTTAAATTATTTATTGCTGAAAAATTATTTGATGATAAATTCTAAATTAAAATTGAAGATACTGATTTTAAACTATCCAAAAATGCTACTAAAGATTTATTGACTATTTTAAGTAAAGATATTGAAGAGTTTTGTTTTTGTAGAAATCTAACTTTATCTTTGGTTTATTTTAAATTACCAACAAATAGATTAGATTCTATGTGTAAACATGAGAATTCATTATCTTATCATTATTAAATAATTAAAAATAGTTAATAAATGACTCCATTATAGATAAATGAATATTTTAAAGATTTAGGATAATTTGAACTAGATAGTAAAATAGGATTTGTTAGAATTTATTTTGATAATTTTTGGTAGGATTGGGAATATATCTATTAGAATGAAAGATCTATGTATTTTGATAAACTAACAGAATAGTTATCAGAAATAATATGATTTCTTTTTTGATAAAAATAAATTAAAACGTTAATACAAATTTACTCAATTTGCTAATTCCATAGATTATCGTCTTGTAAATATTTCAACCTTTTTATTTTTATTGTCAACTTAATCTTTAAAATCTTTTTTTCTTGACTTTTTCTTTTTATCACTATCAACTATATCCTTATCATTTAATATTTACTTCTTTCTATTTAAATTTCTTAAAAGATTTCAAATATTCTAATGTAAGGGAATATTTATGTATTATTTGAATATGAGAATAATCTCAAAAATAAAAAATCATATTATTCTGGAGTTAAATCGATATCCATATATTCAAATGTTTCTATAATTTGTTTTCTTTCTAATAATCCTTCATATTTACTTGTTAATTAATCAAAATATTATTTCAAACTATTTTTATATTTACTAATAACCTAATAATTATAATTTTAAATATACTTATGTTATCTCCTTTGTTTTTTTAATTTCAATTTCACTTGTTAAAATATCATAATTTCCAATCAATTTTTACAAGATACTTCTTACTATAGTTGTAGATTAAGTTAATTAATCATTATAAACAATAAATTCCTAAGAATTATCTTCAGTAAGATATCTAGCTACCAATAAAGCTGAATCTTCATCAATTAATAAAAAAGGTTCTTTTTACATTCTTTCTGATATTTCTTTTAATTTAATTTCTCCAGTCTTCTTATTTTTATTATCAAATAGATATCTTTCAATTGCATCTGCTAATGTAATTTTTTTAGTTCTCAATCGATAATTTAATTCAAATCCTAAATATTATACATCATCTTTTTTAATAACCTTAAACTTTTATTATTATTAATTTTTATCCTAATTAATACTATCTGGAGTATTATTTTAATTTTATGGTCTCTAACTCTTTATATTAAGAGTTGCTGCTGTTGGAGCCAACTTTTACTATATAGATGGAACAGTTTCTTTTAATCTAGATTAGGCATTTATTAATAGCAAATGTTTATATTTTTCATCTAATTCCTCATAAGCTATTTTAAGCTTCTTTAATTCCTCTTATAATTAATCTTTAATTTTTGCTTCAATTGAAGATTTTTCATTTAATTTTTATTTCAATTCAGTTGTTGTTTTATCTAAATATTCTATATCTCTTGTTTTCTATTATAATTCTTTTCTTAATTCTTATTCAATTTTAACTAATCCTATAATTCTTAATTAATTATTATCTAATTTATTTGCTTTTTAGATTAGATTTTAATTTGTATCTTTATATGAATCTAATTCCTATTAAAGTCCATCAATATAAATTAATTTATCTTTCAGAGTTTATTAAAGATCATCAATAACTTATTTTTATTTGTTAAGAACTTTTTAATTAGTTTCTATTTAATTTTATAATTTAAACTTCTCTTCCTATTCAATTGCAATTTGTCCTTAATAAAATGAATTTTCCTATTTTAAAGAATTTATTATTTGCATCTAAATATAGAATTTCTCTTCAAATTAATTAAAATCATGAGTCATTTAATATATTTATTCATTTCTCTAAGATTATTCTAATAAAGTTTTTAATCTTAATGTTTCTTCTTAAAATACATTAATTTCTTTCTCCAATTCTTAAATTTTAGTATATTTAATATCATGTTTCAAATTTTATATTTCTTCATTCTATTATTTAATCATAGTTCTTAACTCTTTTATTTATTTCTTTAAAGTAATTGTCAATAAATTCTATATTTAATAAATTTTATATTAATACTTCACTAATTCCCAATTTAGTCATTAATGCTAAATCCTATTTATCAGCAACATATTTCTGCTGTAAATATCCACCCACATTTTAAACTACAGTTTACATACGTTCTGTATTTTTATTCAAAAATCTCATTTTTGCTTTAAGATCATAGTTTTCTTAAGTTAACTTGTTAATAATATCTTTCAAATAAACAGTTTCTGCATATAAATCATCCTAGTTTAATAAATAAAGATCTTTACTTTATCCTTGACCATGTTAACAGGTATTTTCTTACTTAAATCTTAAACAACAGGTGAATTTCTAAATGATTAGTTTGAATATAGTACTTTACAATTTCTGTATGATTAGATTTGCTTTATGTTACTGAACTATCATTAATAACATTTGTTTTTCTTGTAGAAAGTGTTCTAAATTTATTAGAGGATGGTTTCAATACAAATTTATCTAAATCATTCTATTCACCTGCTCCAAGAATAACAACCTTTAAACCATTTGGAGACACCTTCTCAAGTTTTTTAGTATCATAGATGATGCCTGATTAAGGTCTACTTCTAATTTGACTGAAAGTCTTAGATGCAATCCTTTTGTTATTTTATTTCTTTACATTTATAAAGTTTTTGGAAGTAATATGTTTTATAAAATAAAATTGAATTATAACAATCTATAAATATATTTATACATATTCACTTGTCTAAAAATAAATACAAACTTTATTTTATTTACTTATTCTTCTATCTTATATTTTATATTATTTTGTTTCATATATTTAATAATTGCAATTAGTCATATTAATATTTTAATTTCTACTCTTGTTTCATCAATTCAGTAATTTAAAAATTAATAATTCCAAATAACTTCTATATACATATGTTTGTATTGATGTTTGAAATTGGATAAAAAAAAACAAAATGAAATTTAGAATTTCCTTAAACTTATATTTATTTACATTAACTTATATTTACAGATTTCAAAATAATACTATTTAACTTAGAGTTAGTGTTCTTGAAATGATTTCACAAATATTTACATCAAAACAAAACAATTATACAATAATCAAATAATAGGTTTATTTGGTTTCGCAATTAATAAAAAGTAGTTTATTTGGTTTTTTTAAACAAAAATAACGGAGAAATTATTTTACTCTTTAAAAAGTCAAAACTTCAAACTTATTAGAAAAAGGATATGAAGGATCTTATTATTAAATATTAATTGCACATAAGCATAATTTAAATAAGTTATTTAAGAACTTAAAAATTATAAAAGATATTTTATTATTATATTAATTTAAGGAATGAACTAAATTATATTTGATGAGGATTAAATCCATAACAATACTTGGGATGAATACTCAAACTAGCTGATATGTGAATCACCAATCCGTTTTGGAATTCCATATCGAAAAAAAATAAATGAAGATCAACTTTCTGTTATTTATCTGGATTATCAATCCGACACCTCAGAGAATTAATAAAGTAATAAAAAGACATATCAAACTCCTCATACTTTTAAGAGGATTTAAAAAAAATCTAAAAAATTTAATGCAAAGTTCAAAACAAAATCAATCTCTTTGAACAATATCATTGAAGAATTTACTACTTTTGTTCATTTTTCAGCTGAAAGTAAAAATGAATAAATTCATTATTGTTAAAAGATGAGAATGATGCTTGAAAATCTAGAATCCATATTGTTCTCAATAAAATAAGAAATTTTGGATTTATATCAAAAGAAACTATCTATGAATAATTGATATATATTAATGTGCTAATCAAAAAATAATATCTTAATTTTTAAATTATTATTATCTATTAATTAATAAATAATGAAATTAAAGTTTAGTTTATAATCTTGATCCAAGCTTGAATTGAAGTTGATTTGAGAATTATAATGAAAAATAATGCTTTGATGTATATAAATATAGGGGATTTTCAGATTATTAAATATACTGTTTTATAAATTAATACACATCTATTATTAATGGAAATAGTTCAAAATCAAGATTTAATAATTAATCAACTCAAGTCGTCATAAAAGGTGATTTTGAATATCTTTCAATTAATAATTGATATTTTTTATAAAATATCTCGATGGATATCAGCCCTTTCTTATATGACAACCTACCTTAACCTTAAGAGAACAATGATCTGATATAAGAAGATTGTCATCAATACCTTTCTAAATTGAATTTTAACAAAACTTTATTTAGAATGCAAAGTCCTGAACCTTCTATTCAGGATGATTGTTTCTAGAATGAAAATGACAAATCTTTTGATGTTGATTTTGCGGATTTCAATTATATTAATGAAGAGAAGAAGTTTTCTTCAGATGATGAAGAAAACAATTAATGTTCTAAGAAGATTTAAAAAGTGAAAAAATTAAAAAAGAAGAGTAAAAATAGAAATGGACTACTTTCAGAGAAAGAATTTACAGAAATAATGAAAAAAATAGACTAGTGCCAATAAATAATGAATATGATTGAAAATATGTCAATGATTGTAAATAGATTTAAGCTCTAGTTACAGAAACAAAGAAATTCAACTCTTAAGTGACATAAGTGGATTATTTTGTTTCGATATTTTATATATTTTTTTGCTATTGAACTGACAGTTTATTTACTCATGAAAATTAAAAAGTGAGTATAAATCTAAAATTATAAATGATAATAAAATATATTTCAAAAGAGCATAAAGACTAAAGTGATTACAATGTATGTAAGAAGTGACACGATCAAAAGATTCACAGGTGAAGCTAGTTTTCTTGGCCATTAAGTTGAAGGAAATTCATTTATTTGTTACCCTCGAAACTTATCTAAACCTAAGCTCAAATACCACATCAAAACAAAAAGAAAATAAAATTCAAAATCCCTTAAAGGTGCTTTCCATTAATTAATTTAACTATATGAAATTAATAAATTTACATTTTAGCTCTTGATAACCTTCCAGTACTTTTGGATATACTTAAATTTCTTATAGGTATAACCTTTATTGTAGATATAGGAATATTAAATTATTCTCCTAAATATTGTACTATTCTATCATTTTTTATATTCTTCTATTGTTAATATTGTATTAATTAGATAATGATTTATTAAATCCATTTCTGTATATTTACATTTTATTTTATCTGAAACTCTTCCTCTTTGCTATCTTTAATATAGATATCACAGAAATTCTTGACTTCGAAATATGCAGGAATTTGGTAGGGCTAATTCTATTAAAATTTTAATAGATCACAAAAAAATGAATTTTGATCCTAAGAATATATAAATGTTAATAAATGCATTATTCCTTAATATTCTGGATCACTTAAATAACTTAGATTATTAATGCATTTAAAAATTCCAATTAATAATTTAGTGTAAAATGGATAATGAACTCTTAATAGATTTTTCATTTGATTTCTAAATTGATCTATTTCTCTAAAATGAAAATTTATTTCATATTCTTGAGCATTAAATTTTGATTCAATACATTATAATAAATTTGAAGGTCTATATTCTTTAAACAATATTGCTTAAGGACATTATCCAAATTTATTTTTGCATAATTGATAAATAGGTTATAATTCACTTAAGATAAATCGAGCAATAGGATTATTACTTTTATATTAGAAATTTTATTGTTTTTAAAGTTAATTTAATATTGTATTTTAAGATATTAAACAAGACAATAATGCTTAATCAAATATCAATACCTAATTATATATAGAAATTTCATAGACTGCAAATTACTATCTCAAAAATAAGACATAAGTTGATAAATGGGAAAGTAATGAAATTTAATTGCATTATCTATCATTGTGATAAAATTTGAATGAATTCTCTAAAAATTTATATAATCCTTATTAATATGTAATTTATTATTTTTGTCTACCACATTCAAAAAAGAACCCTCTATTTTAATAAAAGATTTAACTTTATTTGCTAAGAATATCAGTACTCTTAATAAATTGTTTAAATTATGAATATGTAGCTTCTAAATCTTATCCATACCTATTATTAAAAAATATTGTTAAATATATTAACATCATTTAAGTATCTAATACAACACTACTTGGTTTGATTTTATAAAATAACTTTTATTATTCATTTGTTAAATTTAAATCAAGTAATTTCTATACATATAAATGTTCATACATAGAATATTCTTATAATAAAATTATNAAATTTCTTATAGGTATAACCTTTATTGTAGATATAGGAATATTAAATTATTCTCCTAAATATTGTACTATTCTATCATTTTTTATATTCTTCTATTGTTAATATTGTATTAATTAGATAATGATTTATTAAATCCATTTCTGTATATTTACATTTTATTTTATCTGAAACTCTTCCTCTTTGCTATCTTTAATATAGATATCACAGAAATTCTTGACTTCGAAATATGCAGGAATTTGGTAGGGCTAATTCTATTAAAATTTTAATAGATCACAAAAAAATGAATTTTGATCCTAAGAATATATAAATGTTAATAAATGCATTATTCCTTAATATTCTGGATCACTTAAATAACTTAGATTATTAATGCATTTAAAAATTCCAATTAATAATTTAGTGTAAAATGGATAATGAACTCTTAATAGATTTTTCATTTGATTTCTAAATTGATCTATTTCTCTAAAATGAAAATTTATTTCATATTCTTGAGCATTAAATTTTGATTCAATACATTATAATAAATTTGAAGGTCTATATTCTTTAAACAATATTGCTTAAGGACATTATCCAAATTTATTTTTGCATAATTGATAAATAGGTTATAATTCACTTAAGATAAATCGAGCAATAGGATTATTACTTTTATATTAGAAATTTTATTGTTTTTAAAGTTAATTTAATATTGTATTTTAAGATATTAAACAAGACAATAATGCTTAATCAAATATCAATACCTAATTATATATAGAAATTTCATAGACTGCAAATTACTATCTCAAAAATAAGACATAAGTTGATAAATGGGAAAGTAATGAAATTTAATTGCATTATCTATCATTGTGATAAAATTTGAATGAATTCTCTAAAAATTTATATAATCCTTATTAATATGTAATTTATTATTTTTGTCTACCACATTCAAAAAAGAACCCTCTATTTTAATAAAAGATTTAACTTTATTTGCTAAGAATATCAGTACTCTTAATAAATTGTTTAAATTATGAATATGTAGCTTCTAAATCTTATCCATACCTATTATTAAAAAATATTGTTAAATATATTAACATCATTTAAGTATCTAATACAACACTACTTGGTTTGATTTTATAAAATAACTTTTATTATTCATTTGTTAAATTTAAATCAAGTAATTTCTATACATATAAATGTTCATACATAGAATATTCTTATAATAAAATTATCATTTATTGAAATGTGAATATAGTAATTTGTTTATTTTAATTATTTTATATTGGGTTACCAGGTTTTATCTACATAACCATATATTCAATAATTCTTCTTATTAATATTAAATAAGGATTAAATGTTAATTATTTTAATAAAAAGTCTTTTGTGTTAAATTTCTTTTTGCATTTGCTAAATGCACAATCAAGGATTTTTTAACTATTTTCAGTTGCATTTAAAGAACTTTCTTTAAAATTCACTGCTCCATTTAGTAAATGAATCCAAAACATCATTTTAGCACTAACACAGAATTTTAGTTGGTTTTTTTCAACTAAAATGTTGTCTTAAAAAATTTCTTGGAAAGTTTAAAATTATGAATTCATATTAATAATAGAGGGATCCTTCAAAAATAATTACAAATGAGCTGGTAATATATCAATTTAAACTGGATTAAAAGGATATTCAGAAGGTAATGATTAATAAAATGATTATTCATTTGGTGAGAGAGCATTAAGAATTTTAATAAAAAATAGGGTATCCTCTATAGATCCAAATCTCATTTAAGTTGTTCTAAAACTACTATTTAATATCCCATCTTATTTGAAAATTAGTTCGTATACTAAATGTTAAAATTTAAGGAACTCTTAACCATATGAATATTCTTTTTATTTTATGAGTTCAAAACTGAGATTTTAGAGCCAATTTAAAAATTCATTTCCATTAGCTTTTTGAGCATATTTTAAATCGTCTTCAAATTTATTCATAATTTTTATGTAATAAATATAATTTTTTAAATTGATTCAAATTTAAAAGCCTTCATAAAATAAAATCTTATTTTATTATTAACAAATTACATAAGTGAAAAAATCTAAAGAATATTTATATATTTAAATAATTGTAATATTAAAAAAGAAAAATAATTACCCAAATTATAAGACTTAGTTATGGTATTAAAGATTATTTAGAAATATGCATTAATAAAATGTGTTTATGAAAAATATAATTAAATTTTGATATTAATATATAATTAATAAAAAATAATAAAAAACTTATAATGAAAAGATCTAAATTATAGACTTCAGACATCTTAGATTGGTATAAAAAGAGGTAAATTTTGATTTTTAATTTAGATTTCCACAAAAAGTAAAACGAAATTATCTTTATTTACCAGAGGAAATTAAACAGTAAGAGAGAGCATAAGTGATATTTGAGAATTTGGATAAGAAGAAAGAAAGTATTGTAAATTAGAATTATAAATAGATAAATTAGCAATTGATAAATTATATGATATTTGTGTTAAAAGTGGAATGAGTATAAATAGGAATTAAGTAAGAATGCTTTTTGAAAAGATTGATGAAGATAAAAGCAGTAAAAAAGTATTATTAAAATAGAATGGATTGATTTGGATGAGTTCTAAAAATCAGTTCTTGATTAAGATGTAGGAGAATGTAATTTTATATTGATTATTTAGAATTTACATAAGTTGCAATGAAAGTTAGGAAGAACTTAAAAGAAGGATATTTACCAATTTATTATAAGAGTCTAATATCGCATTTAAGCTTTGTTTCAAATAGAGAAGAATTAATATAATAGATTAATGATTAAAATAAAAGTAAAATAGAGAGATTTTAGAAAATAAAAGAAATAATGAAATTACCTTATGATGACATAGAATAATAAGACAATAATTAATAAGTTAAATAAGCAAGAAGAAAGTTAAGTGAATTAAAATAGGATTATGAAGGAGTTTAAAAAGTGGATGAGGAAACTTAAGAGTTTATTACATAAATGAATCAAAAATTAGAAGATACCAAAAAGATAGGGGATGATGATTCTTTGTTGTTAAAAAAGAGAATGAAAAGAAAATCATTACCTCATAATAGTTCTATGATAAACTTACCTAAAATAGAGTAATAAAATCATTTCAAATGGCATAAGAATTTGAGTTTAATTGATAATCAAGTTAGATAAAAAATATTTAGTGAAATATAAAGTTAAAGTAATAAAATAAATGAATTAAATTCACCAAGAAGAAAAAAGTAAAAAGATTTAATATAATTAAAAAATTAATAATCAAAATATATAAAAAAAGCAAAATAATAATTTGATATACAATTTGATTTAATTGATGAGAATCAATAATCAATAGATTATACAGGTGGTAGAAGTTTTGAAGAAGGAATATTAAGTTTATTTTAATAATAATAATAATAATAAGGCTATTTATGCAATTTTACTAATATTTCAACAATAAAAAATGATAAGAATGATAGAGATGAAATATTAGATTAATCTGGGGATCATCTTCCAAAATCAATTTTAAGAAAACTTTAACAATATAAAAATGTTACAAGAGACTCTACTTAAATCTTGTTAGACAAATCAATTCTGTCCAGTTAATAATCTAAATAATCTGGAAAATTGACTCCAATTTACTATTAAAGAATGATACACTAAACTCATACTAATACAGATTCTTTAAATTCTAATGATATGCCAACACATCCTAAAAGAAGAACATATTCATAATAAGATATAAAATATTAAACTGTAATATCATTAATTATTTTAATTAGCCTCATTTTAAGCAATCAGAATTCTAACTTCCATATTTATGAATTATTTTATGATATTGATTCATTTAATTAATTTTTGATTGTTGAATCGTTAAACCAGTGAATATATTTTTTAGTAATTTAATATAATATTTATGGGTCTCTAATGTACTAAATGCTAAATAAACAATGAGAATGAATTAATTCTTGCCAATGTAGTTCCAGAGTAAAAACATAACATGTAATTAGAAGATCTTGAGGATAGTTTTGAAAGTGATCCAAGTATAATAAAATCAGTATAAAAATATTTATAGATTATCCACCTTCAACTGCAATAAATAAAACTATGGAAGAAAAAAGCTCATAATTTTCAAAATTGTAAAAAGAAAGCTAACATACAATACCATCAGAATATAATAAATTAGAAGAATTATAAATGGATGACGATTCCAAATTTTTCGGATAAACTAAAGATGGTTAAGCTAATGGAAATGGAAAACTATGGTTAAAAAATGGGGATTATTATGAAGGTGATTTTTTAAATAATTTAATGCATGGTAAAGGAATCTATAACTATAAAAATGGGCCTATTTATGAAGGTTAATTTTTATTTAACAAACCTGATGGGTTCGGTGTTGAATCTTGGCCAGATGGTTCTATATATGAAGGATAATTTAAAGAAGGTAAAAAATGTGGTAAAGGATGTTACAAGTGGTATTAAGGATGTGTTTATGTTGGAGAATGGAAAAATAATAAAATTCATGGAACTGGAAGATATGATTGGCCTGATGGAAGGGTATGTTGATAGTAAATAATTCCAGTCTTACTCCGGTAGTTGGGCCTGTAATCAAATGCATGGGAGAGGAAAGTACTTTTGGTAGGATGGCAAATGCTATGACGGTGAATATTAGAATGATCGAAAATAAGGATTTGGAATATTTTATTGGCCAGATTGTAAATAATATTAAGGATAATGGAAAGATGGAAAATAACATGGAAAAGGACTTATGATATATCCAGAAGGGAAAAAAAAAGTCGGAATTTGGTAAAATGGGAAATTGATAAATTATACTGAAGATGATAATTTTCAAATAATTCCAGAAAATTGGTTACAATAATGATAATAATAACTTTTCTTTAAATATTTATTTATATAAATTTATAATTAATTGAAACTTAATGCTGATATATTTTTATAAGATTTCAGATAGTATTTGATCTTCTACTTAAATTAATGAGAATAAAGTATTATAAATTTATATATGTTTAATAAATCATTAGTTAGGCATTTATACACCAAATTAAGGCAAATTTTATGAAATACTAGTTGATATAGGTTATTGATTAGTAATTTGAACATTTTATGGTACTTCAGAAGAAACACGATGTTAAATAACAACTCCTTTTCTAGCTTCAATTATTTTGCTTTCATATTTTGATTTTAACCACTTCAAATATTTTCTAACTTCTTCTTAATATTAATAATTGGAAGCTTAACCCTATTCTACCTCTAATTCTAGTTAATCTATATCATATCTTAATTAATCAGAAATTCGTCTTTCTTTAATAATTTCATTTTCTAATTTGTTAGCTCTATCTTCCCAAATACCAATGATTCTTTGTAATTCCCTATTTTCAATATTCAACATTTCCAATTCTGCATCATCTCTCACATATCTCTCCACATATCTATCAACAGGAACTTCCACTATTCTTTCTACAGGAACTTCTACTATTCTTTCTACAGGCACTTCAACAATCTTTTCTACAGGCACTTCAACAATTTTTTCATAAGGAACTTCAACTCTTTTTTCTACTGGAACTTCCACATATCTATCTATAGGTCTATCAATATATCGGTCCGTATATCTATCAACATATCTATCTCTAGGAACTTCAACTATTCTTTCATATGGAACCTCCACAATTCTTTCATATGGTACTTCAACAACTCTCTCATAAGGATAAGGAACTTCATATGGCACAGGTACTTCTACAACTCTGTCAACAGGAACTTCAACTATTCTATCAACAGGAACTTCAACTCTCTTTTCCACTACTCTATCAACAGGGACTTCAATATAAACAGGAACTTCTTTAATAACCTCATAGGGCACCTCCCTAATTACTTCTTTAATCACTTCATATGGCACTTCCTTAATCACTTCTTTAATAACTTCATAAGGAACTTCCTTAATAACTTCATAAGGAACATCTCGATAATAAGGAACTTCATAAGGAACTTCTATTCTTTAAACTACAGGCACTTCAACTGTTTGCACTTTAGGAACTTCAATATACTAAGGAACTTGTTGATACACATATTCAATTTTTGGTATTTCAACAATCTTTTCTACAATTTTAGGTTCAGAAGGCACTTCTTTGATGACTTCTTTAATTATTTCAGTTGGTTTCACTTCTTATACTTGATGAGGTTGATTAACATGCACTGTTTTTATTACCTCTACTGGTTTTTCTACTATCTTTTCAACAACTCTTTCTTAAATTTCAATTTGCTTCTTCTTCTTTTTCTTTCTCAATCTTTCTACTTCATCTTCCAATTATTTAACATAACCATTTTATCTTTCTAATTATACTGTTAAGTCGAATACTCTTAAAATATTATTAAAAAAATTACTTTTTATCAGCCACTTTTAGTAATGATTCTAATTCCCCTATTCTATCAAACATTTCTTAGTTTTCTCTCTCTAATTGTTGTTTTATTATTAAGGCTTCATCCCTTTATCGACCTACTTCGTAAAGTTCCTTTTCAAGTGATTTAATCTTTTTGCACATCTTCTTCAGACATTTTTTATTGTCTTCTATATATAATTCTATCTCTGAGTTGCTTTACTGTTTGGGCTATTGTTCCATCTACCTTATTATTCTCTCCATTTCTTAAATTTCTCTTTTTATTGTATCTATTTCAGGGTCTTAAATATGCTATTATGGTCTTTATCTTTTTGGAGTCTCAGCTATAGTGGAAACTATTATTTCTTCTTTGCTTTCTTTTAATTTCTTATTCTTTTTTTTCAATTTCTTTATCTCTTTTTCTAAATGACTCTAGTCATTCCCTCCCTAAACTACATAAGCTTAAGGGGCACAAATAGGTTATTGTTAACAATTAAATTATGGTTAACAGACAGATGAATACATGGGTTAACACATAGGTTAACATGGCTAACAGAAACTTGGGACACAGGAATGTCCTGGACTTCTTGTTACTGTAGCCACTGATTCATTTAACTGATCTGAAACTCTTGAAGATGTTAGTTTTTGTGCTTAATTATTAAAAGATGTTCTCAACTCTTGAATAGCTGATGTTACTTTTGATAATTTGCTTGATCCTGAACTTGTTGTATTAGTATTAACAGGCTGTAAGACTTTATGGCCTTCATTGAATCGCACAGATTTTGAAGACTAATTATTCATTATTTTAATTATTAACTGACACAGAATTTTATATTCATAGTTTTTTTTTAAATTTATATATAGAATAAAAAATACTATAAAATTTTGCATTTAACTTTTTAAACTTTTGTAAGTTTATTTTTATGAGATAGGTTAACATATTTAACTCAATATAATTTAAATATTTTATGAATAAAAATTTTCAAATTAAAAAAATCTTCTATCTATTATTAAATATTATTTAAAAAGCAAATTTATAATAAGAAGTACATAAAATTTTTTCTAATTAGATTAAAGATGTATATTTTTTAGAGATATTAAATATTGTATTCAAACATAAATATTCAAAAATAGATTTAAATTGAATTATCAAATAAATCACAAAAAATATCTACTACCTTATATTTATTTATATTTTTATAATATTTAATGTTTTGAACTATTTTAATATATATTTCAACTATGAATATTAAATCTCTGAAACTTAAATCGACATTTTATTGCATTCTTACAAAATTGAAAAATGAATCAAGATTAATAATACTTTTATAATAAAAAAGAATAATTTTTAATATTAAAAATATTATCATGGGCAACTCTTGTATTATAATATAGAAATTCCAAATATTTAAAAGGAATAATTAAATGAATGTTTAGTATAAAATTGAATATGCAAGATGATATATCAGAAAAACATTTTAGAATTATAAAATTATATTTTTTTGATAGGATAAGTTAGAAATTTATGACATGGAATCTATTCTTAATCGAAAATTATCAAAATTAATACATAAGATTACTATATAGAATTCTCAAATAAGCAAAAAAAAAGTAAAAGGATTGTAAAAGTTTAGGAAAATTTCGAATTGAAATCTGAATATTATTAATAATCTACTGAGTAGAAAATCATCAAAAAACCATAAGTTGTAACAAATAAAGTTTTAAAGTAAATTATTTTCCTGAATCAATTAAAACTTTACTTCTCTTCTTTCTAAAGACATGAAGTTTCTCTCCTCATTTAGTTTGAAAATTTATGGCTTTACTTTTAGATTTTTGGATAAAAATTTATTTCTAACTTTAACCTTAATTTTTGTTATAAAATGAAATTGTGATAAATTTTTTATAATTTTTTTTCATTATCTATCAAGTTCCTTTTTAATTATTTAAATTTAGAACTGGATGTTTGAAAATAATAATCAAATTCAAAAAGTGTAATCCTTTTCTATTAAAAGTAAAAAGTCAGATAATTTTCAATTAATAATGTAATAAAGCTTATCTATTATTTATGATGCTTTAAATTAATTTCATGCAGAAGTTTATAATTATTCTTTATGATTTTAGATAAAATTTAATTCGAAAAGCTTCTAAAATTGTCAATTTATAATTTTAAAATAATGTTGATTTTCTAATTTAAATAGGAAAGTTTTTTTTTCATAATTTAGCTTTTACTAAAATATGAATTAAGATATAAATTAAAATTAATACATCTATTTATATTTTGTATAATTTGATTAAATCAAATAAATAAAATTAATTATAAAAAGTTCTAAAAAATTGATAATCAAGATGTTTATTACCATTATTAATTTCAACTAAATCTGATTTATCTTAACAACTACAAAGATAATTTAATATCAGTGTCACCTCAGGTGGTTTTTCAAAGTTGTATTTAAAAAATGTAGCAATATCCATTTTTTGCAGTTGTTAATGGTCTTTATGATTCTAATCCATTTTATAATGATAAACGAGTTTTCCATCTGCCATGTAATAGTTGCAAGAATAATTTACGTCTTTTATTATGCACAGTCTTTGTAAATTCTAGCCTAAAGGATTTTAATCATTTTAAATACATAATGATCCTAAATAAGAAATAGATCTTTACTGAAGTTGCTTAGAAAAGAGTCTCTCATTACAACATATGACAAGAGATAATTTTATTCTTACTCTACTCTCTCTAAATATTTCTATTAATAATTACACAACTTCAAATAAGAATTTGAATATATTTTATGCATTACTATTAATTCTTTTGTTAGAGCTATTTCTTAACGATTAATCTTTTAGATGCCCATATCCTGTATTCAACTCTACTCATCAATCCAACTTTTATTGACTCTTTTGGCTATCTCTTTATATAGTTTAAAAACTAATTTAATTTTTTAAATAATCATCTTTTAAGGCACTTTGAATCCTATTTAACAATTTAATTTTAGTCTCTAATTCTAATGGCAGATTTTATCAGAGGAATTTAGACATTTAATAAATTAGAAAGAGTTTTATCTACCAAAATTTAGTAGCTACATGAAAATAAAACCTTTTAGTTTAATGAATATTTAATAGTTAAATAAAAAGATAATTATGGTGATTTTGTAACAATGAATGCAAGACTAATATTATAATTCTGTTCTTACATTCTAATTCAGATGTTACTTTTCAAAAGAATCTTGTTCTTTGAATTAGAGTTAATTTTTACTATTAAAATAAGGCTTCATAAAATGTAAATGTTTTCTCCAATTTTTTTAATTAATTAATTAGTTTTGTTGTTTTTAAATTCTTAAATACTAACTAATACTGGATACTATTTTAATAAATAATATTTAAATTTATTATTATAAAATAATTGTTCAGATCAATTACAAAAGAATTTGTGATTCAATGCTTAGAAACAACTGATTCTTTTATTTGGATCTATTTCTAACATTTTTTATAATAAATCTCTAAGTAATGGATCGAGTATCATTTCCCTTAAAGTTTGTTAATTCTTGACCTTAAGTATGCTATCTTTAGTAGTTGATCCTTATGGCCATTAATAATATTTTCCATTGGTAACATTTTTTGTATTAAAACAATATTTTAAGCTACCTTTCACATTACTTGCCATCCAATAAGGAAAGTTTTATTCTGTTATTTTCTCAACCAAAGCCATATGTTCAAATTCATTCTTTCTTGTTTAAAATAGTAAATGACCTAATTTTTTAAATTTCATTCCTACCTTTGTACATTTCAAAAATAATACAAGCTATTCCCCATACATCACTTTTCTAATCCCATTTACAACATTACAACTGAACCTCAGGAGCTCTATATTGACGTGTATTAATTATACAATTATGGTCTTCATCATCGAACTCTGCTCCACCGAGGTCAATAATCTTGATCTTGTGATCCGCTGGTAGATACCTAATAAAATTTAAAAGTATTTCTTACATGTCATTTTGCCCTTTTTATAACTAACGTATTTTACTAAAAAGAATATTCTCTGGTTTTAAATCTGTATGTGTTAATTTTAAATCATGTAAAAGTCCAATGCATTTTAATAATTATCTGCTAATGCATCTAATCAAATTCATTGGAATTCCACGATTTTGATTCATTCTTAACATATCATATAAACTTGGTCCAAGCTAAAAAATCAATATATATCAAACAATACTCTCTCAAACACCATACAATAATATCCTCTATGATAAAAACTTTCTATTATTTCAACAAAGTATCTATTTAAGTCTTTCTTTTTCAAATAAAATAGTATATCTGCTTCTTATTAAGCACTATCTGCATGATTAATTCTCACAATCTTCATGGCATATGATTTTGAATTTTTTCTTCTTACTTTCAATACTCTTCCAAAAGTTCCATCAGAAATATGTCTTCTTACTTTATAATCCTTTATGTATTCTCCTTTTCGAAATTTATAATGTTTATAATCATCACTTGAAGAACTTCCATTTGATCCTTCATCCGTGATACTTGATGTACTTGTAGAACTATCATTAAATTTACAATAATACCATTTAGGTTTTCTATGAGATCTTCTATTTGATCTTCTACGAGATTCTTTTGAAGACATGGTTTTAAGCTTAAAATATTTTAATTATTAAATGTCATATTAATTTGGGATCAATCAATTATAGAGCACAACAGTTCCAAATGCAAAGTATAAAACTATTCTTTGTCGACACTATTAAGGTATGTGAACTCAATCTATTATAATAGCAACCAAATAATGTGCCATAGGTTCTAAATGCTAATTCGCTCATGGTATAGAAGAATAAAGGTAAATGAACGGTAAAATATTAAAAAATAATCTAAAGATCCTTTGCCTGCTTCTGCACTTTCATCAATCACTACTGCTTCCCAATCAACAACAATTGAACAATAATAAAAAAATTAATCACCTTTGTTTAAAAGTATGAATAAGAATTAAATAAGTACCTTGTAAATACCATCAACTCAATTTTTGTAAGAATGGTTCAGGTTGTCAATATGTACATGGTATGCATTTATTAGTTATACCAAATAGATTCTGATATATAAATATAGCCAACATCATAATAACAGCAATAATAATAATAAATCTAATTATTATAATAATAGTAATTGTAATAATAGTAATNCCTAATAAAATTTAAAAGTATTTCTTACATGTCATTTTGCCCTTTTTATAACTAACGTATTTTACTAAAAAGAATATTCTCTGGTTTTAAATCTGTATGTGTTAATTTTAAATCATGTAAAAGTCCAATGCATTTTAATAATTATCTGCTAATGCATCTAATCAAATTCATTGGAATTCCACGATTTTGATTCATTCTTAACATATCATATAAACTTGGTCCAAGCTAAAAAATCAATATATATCAAACAATACTCTCTCAAACACCATACAATAATATCCTCTATGATAAAAACTTTCTATTATTTCAACAAAGTATCTATTTAAGTCTTTCTTTTTCAAATAAAATAGTATATCTGCTTCTTATTAAGCACTATCTGCATGATTAATTCTCACAATCTTCATGGCATATGATTTTGAATTTTTTCTTCTTACTTTCAATACTCTTCCAAAAGTTCCATCAGAAATATGTCTTCTTACTTTATAATCCTTTATGTATTCTCCTTTTCGAAATTTATAATGTTTATAATCATCACTTGAAGAACTTCCATTTGATCCTTCATCCGTGATACTTGATGTACTTGTAGAACTATCATTAAATTTACAATAATACCATTTAGGTTTTCTATGAGATCTTCTATTTGATCTTCTACGAGATTCTTTTGAAGACATGGTTTTAAGCTTAAAATATTTTAATTATTAAATGTCATATTAATTTGGGATCAATCAATTATAGAGCACAACAGTTCCAAATGCAAAGTATAAAACTATTCTTTGTCGACACTATTAAGGTATGTGAACTCAATCTATTATAATAGCAACCAAATAATGTGCCATAGGTTCTAAATGCTAATTCGCTCATGGTATAGAAGAATAAAGGTAAATGAACGGTAAAATATTAAAAAATAATCTAAAGATCCTTTGCCTGCTTCTGCACTTTCATCAATCACTACTGCTTCCCAATCAACAACAATTGAACAATAATAAAAAAATTAATCACCTTTGTTTAAAAGTATGAATAAGAATTAAATAAGTACCTTGTAAATACCATCAACTCAATTTTTGTAAGAATGGTTCAGGTTGTCAATATGTACATGGTATGCATTTATTAGTTATACCAAATAGATTCTGATATATAAATATAGCCAACATCATAATAACAGCAATAATAATAATAAATCTAATTATTATAATAATAGTAATTGTAATAATAGTAATTGTAACAATAACAATAATAGTAATAATAATAATAACAATAATAATAATAACAAACACTATAAACATAATAATAAGTGGATCCAATGGCCATCACCTTGTCATATATATTAATGGAAATGCAGTAAATCTTTGTTTAAGAAGTAGTTTAATTAAATACTATATAGGATTTACTATAAAAAATAAGGTTTGCTATTGAACTAGTGAGATAAGGAAATTTGGTATTAGCCTGTGACTAGATCAGAACCATAATTAACTCATCAGATAGAACTACAGATGAAATTCAATAATATACATTGTTATATAATTAATCAGTAGCATATTACAAATAACTATAATAACAATGATAATATATATATATGTATTTCTATAAAGATTTTTATCTAATTCATTGTCTTAAACCAACTTATAATTATTATTCATAACAGTCTCTATAAATTATCCTAATAATTGCTAAAGAGAAGAATGCCCCAAAATAAGGTAGAATAGAGTAAATCCATAAATTCCAAATTCTTGCCCAATGTCCATCCTTGCAACATTCAAAGAATACTAAACTAGTCATCAACTTAATATCACTTACCCGAATGCAATAGCTGGATTAAGACTACTCTTAGCTACATAACTAAGTGTTCTTCCAACACAGTATAAATAACTGATTATTATGCTATGTTCTAATCTATCTGATCTGATGATAAACCCATTATATCATCATGTTAAAATAAGAATCCTGAACAAAGAATAAAAGATCCAAATATTACTCCAAGTATCATAGCCATGTATGCTTCTATATTTGTTTATGAAATATATGGAACATCATTTACACTATATTTTGTTGTCTATAAATATTTTACTAATTCTTAAAACACAAAAATTCAAATATTCTTGCCAAAAATGCTCCTCCAAATTAACTACCTATTGCCACTGACACCTATAATCCTTTATCCAGTCCTGATAATACTGTTGTGATTGCAGGATTGAATGTACATTTTTTATGTTAAGCTACCAAAATTAACAATCCATATGCACAAGCAAAAACATAAAGGTTATTATTAAGTTTTAATTAGTCATATATACTGGCATAAATACAGAAAGTTAACATGAATGTTCCTATGAATTCAAACCAAAAGATATAAATTGCTTCCTTTTTAATTTAACCAACTTTTGTTTGAGGCATATTATCTAGTTCCCATTTTATAGGTTTTTTTATTTTATTTCTTAATTAACTAAATCTGCATAATTTTATTGTTATTATGTTCCATTTTATAATTATTATTATTAATATTAATGTTAGCAATATTCTTATGTACGTAAGTTTACTATCTTAAATTGTAGTTATTATATTAGAGAACTCTATTTATGCTATGAATCTTAGCAAGAGGGAAACTCAAAAATATTAATAATAAGTCAATCGCATTGAAAAACGATAAATTGGATCTTTGATTATTTCTATGATATAATTAGATTAGCCATAAATAAATTAGTTGATTGAATAATCTATAGAAGATTTTGAATTAGAATATTCAACTCTCTAGGATTTTCACATTAGTAGGAAGACATAAATTTATTAATCTATGCAGTAATTGAAAGCACAACTCTTAGACTTAGATTTGTTATAATCATCTTTTATTGATGGACCATAAGAGAAAGAAAGGGAATTCCATGAATAAAAAATAGTACGACTTAATCAACTAATAAATCAAAATTACAAAATGATTGATTAAAAAGAAGTTTAATTAATAAAAATGTAGAACAGGTATACTATATTTGTTAATAATTATAGTTTAAGTTCATTAATTGATGAATATGATATAAATATCAACTAAATAGATTAAATGCTTTAAACAATAGATTCTATTTTATATGATGAAGAGAAAGTAGGCATTAAATTTTTCTAAAAAAGAGGTAGGGTTAATGAGATAATTGAAAATTTTGGAAAATCTACCATTAAAAATATCAAATTAGATTTACCAATGCTAAAACAAGTAATACAAATAGGAATAAAAAATAATTTTGCAGAGAAATAAACTTATAAATAAGTATATATATATATATAATCAAAAATTAGGTTTAAGAACTCTTAATTTCTTTAAGAAACAAATTAGTTGGAGAACTAAATAGTCTAAATACTGATAAAATTGATTAGCTTGAATTAAATATTAATGAATTAAAGAATGAAACTCTAAAATTGAAAAGTTAATTACTAGAATCAACTTAGAAATTACAAATTGAAAATAGAGACATTAGTGCAATAACAGATTCTAAGAAGAGAATTGAATAGGAACTTATAATTCTTGATGAGGATTTAAGATTAGAGAATGAATTATTTAATTAGAAAGAAACATTTTTAATAGAAGAAGTTAATGAATTGATGGAAATTGAACAGCTTTTGAAAAATAGAGAATTTATTTAATACATTCAAGATTAAGAATAATTATGATAATATAAATAAATATAAAATTTGATGGATCATCAAATACAACTAAAGGAACTTATGAAAAGGCTCCATTAGTAATTGAAGTCTGCTGTGACTCTATAATCTAAAATTCAAAACTTGAATTATTTGCTTTAACAAACATCTGATTTTTTAGATCTGTATACCTTATTATTAATTTGAGATTTGCATAATCTAATTCAATGAAAATAATAACAAATTACTTAAAAGATGCCTTGAAATCCATTCAAATTAATGAAGAATTGATTGATAAAATATTGACTTTAATATTGAAGATGAATTTAAGTGAAGAAATACTTAGAGAGTCTGAAATTGCTAAGCCTTTATTAAAAATTAAAGATAAAAAGCTTTTTGATAATATAAGATCTAATATGATTGAACAACTATAATAGTAATGGTCTAGATGTTATATAAAATTCAAATCATTGCTTGATGAATGGAAAAGAAACAATAATTAAAAGGATAAATAAGAAGATCGTAAAAAGAAAGGAAAAAGAAATTAATCATCAAGTTCTAGTGAATCTTCTAATAAAAAAAAGAAGAATAAAAAGAAATTTGTAAAGTAATAATTTAGACATATTTGAATAGATTTCAAAGAGATGATCTTTTACTTAATTTTAAATATTTTAAAAGAGATGATGAACCTAATCAAAGAGGAATGACCATGGAAGAAGTTATTTAATTCTAGAAATAATATGCTGGTGAAATAAAACGATTGAATTAAATAAATGGAGCATATAATATTAAACATAGAGAATCATTAATGGAAGGAAAAGAACATAAAATGCAATTAGATAACATTTAATAAATGTTAGAATAGATACCTTTTATTAAACCTGCAAGTTATTTATTATTAATAATCATTAGAACTCTTATTATAATCATAAATAAACTATGACACAAACTATATTGAGACTGTAATCTAATAAAAAAGAACAGAATCTAAAATGTCGGCATTTTACAATAGAGATGTATATAATTATTAATTAACATTTAGAATATACCAGATTAGCCTGGATATAATGAAATTTCTAATACTCAATCAGGCTTACAACCAAAAATTATTCATTTAGATCCTCCAAAAAGAGAGGATCTTATATATATGGTCTAGGTTATTTGCAACAGAGGACTCAAAGAAATAGAAGAAAAGAACAAAAATGGCAATAAGAAACAAGTTAAGGGAATTCTCAAAAAGCCTCCTGAAGAATAAATAAAATAAAAGGATGTTCTCAATTAAGCCAAGCAAGACTTACAACCAAAAATGCAATAATTAGTTTAAATGGTTGAGTAGAAGCATTAGCATAGCCAGGAAAGCATTTGTAATAATATCTCATTATTTAAGTAACTTTATTACATGATATTATATAAAAATTAAAGGATATTGGTGAAGAAAAATATATAAAAAATCTAAAATCTATCATTGAAATAAAATTGAACGACAAACAAACAATAAAGAGTGAAATTGATCGAGTAAAAGCTCAGTAAGATTAACAAAGACTTCGACTTGAGTAGCTATAAACTATCAATCCTGTTTAAGCTCTTCGATTAAGAGCTTACAAGACAAAGCATTGTCACAATTTTCATTCTTCCATAGGTTGTACAAGAGGAGATAATTGCAATTTCATTCATGACTCTCGTTATCCTGGGAGACCAGCTCCAACTCTTTAATAACCAAATTTCCTAAATAAAACTCTATATCCTTAATCCAATATGCCTATAATTGTTCCACCTTTGCTTTAATAACTTAATCCTGCAATTCTGCTTGGTAGACAGAAAAAATATGAAAGTCTATGAGTCAAAATTATTTTTAAATTATAATATAATCATAATATAAGATTTATCAATATCCTTTTAATCATATAACCTAATAAATACTTTTACTTTATATAATAATAGAATTTTATTTAATATGCATTGTTTAATTTAAAATTATAATAAAGGTTATTTTTAAATATTTTTTCACCTAATATAAATTACTTATCTTTCTATTTTTTTAATTCTAAGATTACAGAAATAACTTATTTGTCATCTTTTACAATTAAAATAAATGACCTAAAATATTATGTGTTTTCTTAGGAAATTATATTGATCTAAAATTTTTTATTTCATGTGAATATTTTAATCTTTACTCAATCTTAAATCAAATTATTAAAACAATTTATTAGAACCTATAAAGAAACTTCTATTATCCATATATATTATTATTTTATTTATTAGTAAAGTTCATATATTAAGTTTTGGTTATGCGTTTTCTTTTTTCTTTGATGATTAAATACATCTCTATAAGATTTAATATGGATCGAAATTATATCAAGTATTTATAAAATAACTTTAAAATCATATTATATTAATAAATTTTCTACTTTTATATTTGGTTAAGCCATTTAAAAATTTCATTGAATAGATTTATCTTTTTGTTTAAATCAAATTATATCTATTATAACTTTTCTTATCTAAAATTAATGATTAATTTATAGTGATTTTATCTTTGTTTATAGTTTTCTATTTTTTATTATTATTTTAATAATGTTAAAGATATATAATATTTTCTTTCTATATTTTTTAATTCTTAAATGTTGGTTTTAGAATAACTATTCTCATTTAATGTAGTCTTGCATTGTTTATAAATAAAATTATTAATCAATATAATCACATCATATAAATTATTGCTCCCACTATACTCATAAATAACAAAAATGTGATAGACATTAGAATCAAATACCAAAAGATAACATATCTTAATAAATTGCAAGGTTCATTTTTAAAATATTGGATAATTAAAAATATATTGCTAATGATAAATCCAATTAGCAAAATTCCAGATATATACAGCTTTATCTTGGAATTGGATGAGAGTTTCCATTAAATCATTATGCTAGTATAAATTGTATAAAAATTTACCAAATTATAATGACATAAACTATATAAAGCCAAACTATAAAATATGCACATTCTCTTAATGCTATACACCCATCCCCTCCATAGAGTTCTGGTTTTGATGTGAATTAGTAAAATAAAAAGCTTACTAATGATAGGGAGACAACGGTAAATAAGGAAACTTTATCAAAAGCTGATTGCTCCTATTACACCTAATTCATGAATGTATGTTGTATGTAATTATTATAAATAGTTTATTTTTTTTTATAAATTGAACTTTATTTGGAAATACTTAATTTTCATTATGAATTTCATGCATAAATACTTCCTTCTTCTGTGAAGTTTTTATTTACACCTGCATTATCAAACATTTAACAAAACTCTTCAAAACTTATTTTATTATCATGATTTGGATCAATTTCAGCAATCATTTCATCAATTTTTTGATCAGATATTTACTTTCCATTTCTTGCAAATGCTTCTTTAATATTTTATTTGGTAATAAAATTTGAATTGTCAGTGTCAAATATTTTAAATAAAGAAGATAACTATTTATAAAATGAAGCTTATACTTTTTCTTTAGTTATAAACTTTCTTTCATCTATGCAAGAAGCCAAGAATTGACTATATTTAATTACAAACTCTTTTTTCTTTTTTCCTACTTCCTCATGCGATATTGGAGGACCACCATTATTAATTAATTTCTCTATATCTTCAAAGGTGGCTGGAGAACCCTTAAGTAATTCTATATAGAATTTATACTTCAGCCTATAAAGCTTATTTCAATTCTTAAAAAGTAATAGTTCCAGAATTATCAACATCTATTTTCTTAAATATTTCTTTTAACTAATTTAATTCTGCTTCACTGAGTTAATTAATTAATAGGGTTTTAACTTCTTTTTTAAATTTAGCTCCTCCTTAATTTTATTTTAATAATGAATAAATTGATCTATTTTCAGTAATGCTTGAAGTGAGAGAATTGTTTAATAATGTCGAATTTTTCTCTTCATTCTTAAACTATTTTTTGAACCAACTATGCTTAAGAACTTCCTTTGAATTCGGTCTTAATCCAGGTTACTTTGAAAGCATTTTTTTAATCAAATCCTTAGCCTCACTACTAATATGGGACCAAATAGTTGAAGTAAATGAAATCTTTATTTAATATATAAGTGTTACATTTGCTTTTTAAATGTTGTCATATAATTCCTCTTTTGTTTCTCCATGAAATGGCAAATGGCCAGATAGTAATGTAAATAGCAAGACCCCCAAAGACCAAATATCACATTTTTCATCATATGATCCCTTAATTACTTCNTATATAAAGCCAAACTATAAAATATGCACATTCTCTTAATGCTATACACCCATCCCCTCCATAGAGTTCTGGTTTTGATGTGAATTAGTAAAATAAAAAGCTTACTAATGATAGGGAGACAACGGTAAATAAGGAAACTTTATCAAAAGCTGATTGCTCCTATTACACCTAATTCATGAATGTATGTTGTATGTAATTATTATAAATAGTTTATTTTTTTTTATAAATTGAACTTTATTTGGAAATACTTAATTTTCATTATGAATTTCATGCATAAATACTTCCTTCTTCTGTGAAGTTTTTATTTACACCTGCATTATCAAACATTTAACAAAACTCTTCAAAACTTATTTTATTATCATGATTTGGATCAATTTCAGCAATCATTTCATCAATTTTTTGATCAGATATTTACTTTCCATTTCTTGCAAATGCTTCTTTAATATTTTATTTGGTAATAAAATTTGAATTGTCAGTGTCAAATATTTTAAATAAAGAAGATAACTATTTATAAAATGAAGCTTATACTTTTTCTTTAGTTATAAACTTTCTTTCATCTATGCAAGAAGCCAAGAATTGACTATATTTAATTACAAACTCTTTTTTCTTTTTTCCTACTTCCTCATGCGATATTGGAGGACCACCATTATTAATTAATTTCTCTATATCTTCAAAGGTGGCTGGAGAACCCTTAAGTAATTCTATATAGAATTTATACTTCAGCCTATAAAGCTTATTTCAATTCTTAAAAAGTAATAGTTCCAGAATTATCAACATCTATTTTCTTAAATATTTCTTTTAACTAATTTAATTCTGCTTCACTGAGTTAATTAATTAATAGGGTTTTAACTTCTTTTTTAAATTTAGCTCCTCCTTAATTTTATTTTAATAATGAATAAATTGATCTATTTTCAGTAATGCTTGAAGTGAGAGAATTGTTTAATAATGTCGAATTTTTCTCTTCATTCTTAAACTATTTTTTGAACCAACTATGCTTAAGAACTTCCTTTGAATTCGGTCTTAATCCAGGTTACTTTGAAAGCATTTTTTTAATCAAATCCTTAGCCTCACTACTAATATGGGACCAAATAGTTGAAGTAAATGAAATCTTTATTTAATATATAAGTGTTACATTTGCTTTTTAAATGTTGTCATATAATTCCTCTTTTGTTTCTCCATGAAATGGCAAATGGCCAGATAGTAATGTAAATAGCAAGACCCCCAAAGACCAAATATCACATTTTTCATCATATGATCCCTTAATTACTTCAGGTGCCATGTACATAGGTGTTCCTGCAAAAGATTTTAGTCGCCTTAATTTTAATCTATTATTTATAATACTTTAGATGTGAGGTATCAAACTTATTTGCCAATCCAAAATCTATTAGTTTAGGTTCACCATCGTCTTTTTTGGATGTGATCATAATGTTTTCAGCTTTGATATCTCTATGTACTATTCCTTAATCATGTATATAAGAAACAGCAGAAACAATCTAATTTAAAATGATTATGTATTGTAACCTTTTTCATTAGCTCTTGAATATTTTGTTCATGAAAGCTTTTGTACTTTTTTGGAATCCATTCAACTAATTCTCCTCCTCTACAATAGTCCATACAAATGTAAAAATTTTATTTGTTTTAGTAAACTTCATGAAATTTAATTATGTTTGGATGATCTAATCTTTGTAACATGTAAATTTCATTAGCCAGTATGTCTTCACGACCTTTGACTTTTGTTTTTTCTATGATTTTGATAGCAAATTGCTTTTCAAGATTTTTTATCATTCTTGCAGTAACGACTTTACCAAATGAACCTGCTCCAAGTACTTTCCCAAATTAATAAATTTTAGAAATATCTTCTGTAGAGGTAAAGACTAGATCCTAGTTTTTTGTTCTCATCTAAATTATTGGATTCTGTTTTAATTCAGCTCCTGAAACACATCCCATTTTTAAATAATATAATATGATTTAAAGAAAAGAATTTGATTTGTTTTGATTGTAAAAAATATAATGTATAAATTTTATATAGAAATTATTTAATAAAAATGAATTTAATACAAATTAATAATAATACATGAAAGTGTCAAAGAATGATTAATATCAATATATTGAAGGAGCAATAGATTAAGGATCTTTAAGTTCATCTTTGAATTCTAAAGTTTACTATATTCCAGCTAGACCCATCATTTAACAAAAAGCATCAAAATGAATTCTATTTTCATTTAAGGGATCGATTTCAGCAATCATTTAATCAATTTTTTCATTAGGTACTGAACGACCATGTCTAGCAAATGATTCCCTTATTGCTTCTCTAGATAAATGATTTTCATTTCTAGTATCAAAGTATTTAAAAATGGACCATAACTTTTCTCTTGTGAATACTCTTCTTTCATCAATACATGCAGTTAAAAAATTGCTATATTTAATAGTAGCAGGTTTTTAATTAGATCTATGTGAATTTGACAAAGTGATATCATCTATATCATCAATATCATAACCAATTTTTTCCATGATTTCTTCAATCTCTTCCAAAGTGGCTTAAGAACCCTAATAAGTATAAGTTTATTATTTTACCTCTTATTGTAAGGCATGATGTAATTCTTAAATAGTAATAGTTCCTGAATTATTTAAATCTATCTTTTTAAAAATAAATTGAAGTTTGGCTAAATCTTTTTCATTCATTTAATTGACAAGAACTTTCATGACTTCCCTTTTAAATTTAGCTCCAAGTCTATAAGTCTTAAGCATTTAATATAATGTTCTCTAATCATCTTCTGATGCAGTATTTGAAAATCCTGTACTTCTCCTAGATGGTCTCAGTATTCCTTCATTGAATGGCAATTAGAACCATGGATGTTAGAGACATTCTTTAGATGAAGCACGTTGTAATTGATTTTTATTTAACATTCGTTTAATCAGATCTTTGACTTCATCACTAATATTTCTCCAATGCCTTTTATCAAATATTAACTAAGAATTAATTTAAATTTCATACATTTTAACTTCGAATATTATCATAAAGGTCTTATCGGTTTTTGCCATAAAAAGGTGGATATCCAACCAACATATTAAATAATAAAACACCTAGACTCCAAACATCACATTTTTCATTGTATGTTCCATCAATTACTTCTGGTGCCAAATATACTGGAGTACCTACTCCAGCATTAAGTTTACTAAAAAGAATTATTAATGTTTAATACTTGTAACTAAATGCATCATATTTAACTGAGAGACCAAAATCTATCAATTTAGGCTCTGAATTGATATCGCATTCTGAAAATAAAATATTTTCCGGTTTAATATCTCTATGTATAATACCTTAATCATGTATATAAGCAAGGGCAGAAAAAATCTAAGATTTATTATTATGCTTAATACTTTAACCATAATAGCTCTAGCTTAACATTCAGTATAGAATTTTTAATTTTTGGGTATAGACTCCATCAGTTCTCCTCCACCACATTTATCCATGCATATATAGAAATACAATTCGCTTTAATATACTTCATGGAATTTTATAATATTTGGATGGTCAAGTCTTTATAACACATAAATTTCATTTGCCAACATGGCTTCTCTGCCTTTGACTGTTTTTTTGTCAATCATTTTTATAGCAAATTATTTATCATTGTTATTTCTTCTTCTAGCAGTAAGAACTTTGCCAAAAGCACCTATTCCTAAGACTTTACCAAAAGAAAATATTTTGTGAATGTCAGCAGTTGATGTAAAAATGTAATCTCTATTTGTAGTTTGCATTGCAACAATTTTATTCATTCCTTTAGGTTAAAAACAACCCATTATTTATTAATTATAATGTAAATCTAAGATTTTGGAATTGTTTAAATTTCAAAAAGCATTATGTAATAAATCATGCATAAATAATCAGAAAAATTAATTGATTTTGAAGTGTATGTTATTTAATATATAGATATATTGAAAAGATATAGTAAATAATTGCTATTTTATTATTGAAATATCATAAATTATAAATTGTATGGTTATATGAATTTAATAAGCTTGAATTATGAGATGTTTATAATATATTATTTATATAATCAACTTTAAATTTCCATTTCTTTCACTTCATCTCTAATATTCATAGTTTATTCTATGCCTGCAACCCCCATCATTTATAAAAATTCATCAAAACTTATTTTATTATCATGATTAGGATCGATTTCCTAAATCATCTAATCAATTTTCTCATCTGACATCTATCTTGCATGTCTAGCTAAAGCTTCTTTAATATCCTCTTTTGTTATATAATTGACATTTAAAGTATCAAAATATTTAAATAATGACCATAACTAAATTAGTAAATAAATAAATAATACTTTTTCTCTGGTTAATACTTTTCTTTCATCAATACAGGCAGCTAAAAAGTCTGTATATTTGATAACAAGAGGAGAAGGTTCTTTATCTATTTCTGGATTATTGTTCTCTTCATCATCTTCTTCTAATACTATAGTTTATATAATTTATTCTATTTCTTCCAAAGAAGCAGGAGATCCCTATTTTAATTAAATTTAATTACTTCTTATTATAATGCTTCTCTCAATTCTTCAATAGTAATAGTACCAGAATTATCAATATCTATTTTTTGAAATACCTACTTAAGATGATGTAATTCTTTCTCATTCATTTAATTAACTAGAACTTTTGTAACTTCTTTTTTAAATTTTGCTCCTCCTCTAAACATTTTAAGCATTTAATAAATAGTTCTATTATCTTCATTAGTCTAAGTTAATAATTATTAACTCTTTTCTCTATGAACTTTAACATTTTAAAATTGCATTTCAAACCAAGTATGTTTAAGACATTCTCTGGCAGATAATCTTTTTTTAGGTGTTTTCATTAACATTTTTTAAATTAAATCTTTAGCTTATTCACTGATATTTCTCCAATGACGTCTATCAAATACAAGCTATTAATATTTATTTTAATTACAGCTTGTGATTTAATATTTTCATATAATTAGGCTCTATTTTTACCATAGAAAGGTGGATAACCACATAATAAACTAAATAGCATAACTCCTAAACTCCATACATCACATTTTTCATCATATTCACCATCAATTACTTCAGGTGGTAAATATAAGGGAGTTCCAACAAATGTTTTCAATCGTCTTAGAATAATTCTTGATTCAAATACTTTATGTGAGTAGTGTCATACTTATTTGCCAATCCAAAATCAATCAATTTAGGTTCTGAATAGATATCTTTTTCACTAAACATAATATTCTCAGGTTTTATATCACGATGTACTAAACCTAGATCATGAATATAAACAATTGCTGAACAAATCTATAAATGAAAAACTGAATACTTTGTGCATAATAGTTTATACTTATCCTTCTGATAATGTTGATTATTATTTGGCTATTCTTTCAACAAGTTCACCTCCTTAACAATAATCCATACAAATATAGAAATATAGAGGGCTCTAATAAACTTCATAAAATTTAATGATATTTGGATGATCAAGTTATTGTAATACAAAGATTTCATTAGCAAGTAATGCCTCTTTACCTTTAACTCTTCTTTTATCAATTACTTTAATAGCATATTATTTTTCAGAGTTCTGTTTCATTTTAGCTAATAATACTTTTCCAAATGAACCAACTCCCAGTACCTTCCCAAAGTTGTATAATTGATGAATATCAGCAGTTGAAGTGAAAACTTAATCTTTATTCATGGTTTACATGGCTACAATTCTATTTCTCTTTTTAGGTTACAGACAACCCATGTTTTATGATAATTAATGAGTAATTAATTGAAATATTCATGCATAAAACTTTTATATCTAATTTTTAGAGATTTCATAAGCATAAAATCCAATTGCATTAGCATAAAACGCTCTTAACATACATGCTGAAAATCCTCTCCACAAAGACAGAACTCCATCACTTTTTATCCTATATTTTAGACACTCAAAAAAACCTCCATCAAGGAATCTTGGTTTAAATCTTCTTGTTTTTGTACCCATTTCACATTACAAAATAGTCTTAATCGTCTATTATTATTTTAATTAATAATACATCTTAAGGATATCCAACTACCCAACATGCCATTCCTGCTAATCCTCCAGAAATTAATAAATCATGAGAAGATGGTTCACCTTTATCTTATAACCACATTAATTAATCTCTAACAAATTCATATGTAGCAAATTATGCACTATATCCCAAGATTTCTCTTTACTAAGTTGCATTCATCCCTCTAAATATATATCTAAATCCTTCTTATTTTGCAATCTAGATATATTTATTTATTTATTTACTTTCCATAAACAATCAAAAGGATTCTTATATAATTTATGTGCATTATCCATCTACATTTGTAATCTACATTTTGTCAAATCAATTGAACATGCTAATGTTGCTGCACAACTTCCAGATATACCTCCACAAATTGCACTATTATAATTCATATATATTATATACGTCTAAAAATAAGTCATAGGTTTTCCATTATCATTATATCCTGTAAATTATCTTCGTGAATATTCATAAACAGCAAATACTATAGCATTCAAAAAAGGAACAGATAACAAAGGAAAAGTCATCCCTTTATAAAATGCTAATATCCCCTCATTTTTTATTATTTTTATTATTGATCTCCAGAAATTCTCTTTTGACATTTGCATTCGCACTTTCAAAGTATCCATAGGATGTCCAAATAAACAATTAAAGCTTGGTCCAAATATAAAGATACATTCCACTAACTGTTCCTGCACCCAAATCTATTGATATCTGTTTGCGATTCTCCTAGAGCCAAATTTAAAATTCAGACATCAAGCACTACTAAATGTTTAAAATTATTTATTAATTTTATTTAAACTTTATTTTCAAAACTCTTTGATTGAATGATTGAAAGCTACTTCCTTTTCAATAAATATTATTTAAAATAAATTCATTAGAATAGGCAAATTGATGATAGCTATAAAATATTACAATTCTTAAATAATATTTAATTTCTATTTTTAATAAAACATAATGATATCAATACATTTCCTACATTAATTTGTTTATTAACTAATCATTTCTTAATTATTTTTGATTATAGTAGTAAATCAATAAAATAAATAGAATTGTCTAAAAATTAATTTAAGTATTATTTGATATGGAGTAGTTTTTAAAGATTATAGATTTTAATAATAGAATCTAAATTAGCTATAATTATTTTATATATATTATTTTTAATGGATAACAATTTTTTTGGAGATAATTTTGTAAATAAAAATGGACCATGCAAAATCAAATTATCTGATATGAAGGTTATAGTGTTATATTTTTGTGCAAGTAAATGTAATATGATTATTTAAGGTTGGTGTCCTCCTTGTGTAAATTTTACACCAACTCTTGTTGAATTTTATAATGATGTTAATTTGGAAACTAAATAACTAGAAATTATTTGGGTATCTTATGAAGAATCAGAAAGTTAATTCAAAAAATATTTAGAAGAGGTTTATGCATAATATTATTTAAAGATGCCATGGCCAGCCATTCCTCATAATGATAAGAGAATTTAGTAACTGGTAGATAAATATGAAATTAAAGGAATTCCTACGGTGACAGTATTAAGGAAAAATGGAGATGTAGCTAAGAAGAATGGGAAATAGGATGTTATAAAAGAAGGAGAAGGAGCTTATAATTTATGGGAATAATTAGTGAATAGTGAGTGAACTCAAATTTTTATTATAATTATTTATAAAATATTAATAATATATAATGTCTGCAGGAATATTTATTGGCACAATCATATTTATAGGTATTGGAATTGGAGTTACTGTATGGCTTAAAGGTGTTGTTACTAAGGCAACAAAAAATCTAAGTGATCTTAATGATAATTTATTGTAATAAATTAATAATTGAAATAGGCTCATGTATGTTTCAGTAATTTCAGGTACTATATAATTTTGGCTTTTATGGTTTTGTATGTATATGCATTAACTCAATCCTATAATAACACCTGTTAGAGGACATGAATGAGTAATTATTAATAAATCAAATTAAAATTTAATTTATACATCATTTATTAGAAATATTCTTAGACTTATGGATTTAATTATTATTATCAATTTTACATTATCAATTATGATTAGACCTATAAATTTTATTTTATAAAACTTCTATATAATGAATTATAAGTTTAAATAAACTGATATATTTATTTTATAAATATTAAGAATTAATAAAAATATAAATGATATAACATTCTATTATAAAAAAAATATAGTGATATTCAAATTGAATTTGAATGTGATTTTAAAAGTTGAGAAAATTCTTAAAATGAAAGTTTTCCATTTTAATTCAAATCTCCTTGATTAAATATTTATTCCCATTCTTAATCAGTTAATCTAGCTTCTATGAATAAAGATTTTAATTCTTTAATAGTTATCTATTAGCTTTAATTTTTATCCATAAATTTAAATAATATTTCTAGATTTTCTTTATTTACAAGTTTATCAGTATCACAAGAGGCAAGTAAAAATTCATGAAATTCTATATATCCATTTTAATTAGAATCTAAAATTTAGAATATTTTATCTGTAAGTGTTCTCTATTTTTCTATAGTTAAGAATTTTTTGAGTTCACTTTTTGTTATCTTACCATCTTTATTATCATCTATTGCTTCAAATGCAATCATTAATTTCTCTTTTTCCTTTTCATCCATTAATTTATTAATCATTATTGATAATAACAATTTTTGAAATTCAGATTTAGATTAATATTATTAAATTCTCTATAACATATCATCAACAAAAGTTCTATCAGTATAATTTACAATATTTTTGAAATAATCATGTTTTAAACATTCAGCTGCACTAATACGTTTGGCTAATAAAAATAAATAATAGATTTACATGGATTAACATTTAACATTAAATTAATTAACTTTTAAGCATCAGGAGGAATTTTATTCCAACTATCATCTTTAATAATTTTGCCTTTTAATATATTCTCCTTTTTCTCCTTTAAGTTATCTCCCTAAAATGGTAAAGATCTTGTCCATATTTCATACAATAATACTCCACAAGACCACATATCTGATGCTTAAGTATATTATTATTTTTAAATGACTTCAGGAGCTAGATAATTAATTTCAAGTAAATCATCATCATTTGATTTGACTCTTGAATTACTATAATCAACTAATTTAATTAATTAATTTTGTTGGCTTTAAAAAAGAATATTTTCAGGTTTGAGATTTCTAAAATATTGAATATATTTACTTATGATTAATTCCAATACTATGTAAGTATTACAAACCTGCAAAAATTTATTAAAAGTAAATTTAAATCAATTAGTTTTTGCTTACTGATTAGTCTTTATTGTCAGATTTAAGTCTTGAAAATAATGTTCCACCATCATAATTTTCTGTTACTATATACAATTATTTTGAATCAATAAAAAAATCATATATAAACATTATATTTGGATGATCCTTTAATAGTTATAATTTAAATACCAATTTTTTGAGTAATTGTATTTTATTTTGAATCTTACTTAAATCTGATTATTTATAATGATGGGTTTATATAATTGCAATTTTCGTAACTCCAGTTTAATTATGTTATACAGTACAAACTTGTCGTATTTGTTCATTGGGACTTTTTAAGTTTTTTAACAATGTGTATGTATTAAAAAACTTGCCTTTATTAGCAGTATTTTGTCTATCTGGAGTTAATAATTCTTGACTTTTCATTAAGAAATCTTATTGAGATTATATTATGACAGAACCAGGTGCAACATTATTTGGACTACTTTCTTTGACAATATCGGTTGCATTTGCAGATTTTACATGTTGAATTCTTATTTATTATGGTGTTTGGTTTTATTTTTTTGACTTACAAATTCCCATTGTAAAATAAATTATATATTCTTTAATTTAATTTTTTTGAGGTATATTAATATCATAATATAAAGATTTATTGATGTAATCATTTGATATATATTTTAGAATAAGAATGATATTTTAGTTTATTAGAATTCACATAAGTAATTTATTTAGGTTCAGTAAATAGTAATTTGATTAATTCTATGATTTTGAAGAATGAAAAGATATGGTATATTTTTCATTAGATTATGAGAGTGAGATAAATATATATATTTGTTGAAAGAGAATAGATGATTATCATACTTATTTTTTGATTATAAATGATCTACCTTTGCTTTAGGCAGTTCTAGGTGGAGCATACATGGTTTTATTGAAATACAATGTATATTCTCTAGATATCCAATTAATGAGTTTGTCAGTTTCTTCAAATCTTCTTTTTTAATCTTTTGCTCCTATTAATACTACTATTATTAATCCTAATAAACTCTCATAAGAGACAGCAAGACAAGCACCAGCATTAGGTGTTATTCCAGTTTTAATTCCTTAATAATTTTCAAAATGTAACAATTAATTAGTATTAAACCATTCATAATTTCTGCAAGAATAGGATTTACTATTGCAAATTTATTTTAAAATGGGGATCTTCAAATAAGCTGAACTCATTCTACACATATCTAATGCAGTTGATTTATTAGCCTATATTTAATCTAGTATTAAATGTGTACTTTTGAACTGAGACCATGCGGATTTGAAAATTAAGAATCTCTCATGCCTAATTTTAATGCATTCTCATTCATTTATCTTACAAATCTATTCATATTGCTCATTTATGTATCATCATAAAATCCTTAGATAGTATCACATGTTATATAACTGGCTATCTTTTATTTTCGTTGAGTATTGAGTATTGATCCAAAATGCAGTGCAATAGATATTGCAGCATCATTTCCAGAGGGTAACATCAGTGCATATAATAATTCTTCTAAAGACAATGTGTCATCCCTTCTTAAAAAGGCTGATGTCCCTCCTATTTATGTAGCAATTCTAGGAATACGTATGTATATTTCATTCTAAAATTAGATTACATAAGCTTGAATTACATAATCAAGATTTAATTCTTCACATAATTATATAGCTGTATATGCTGTCATTATTTTGGTAAGACTTGCCACTTCTAACTTTAAGGAAGGAGATTTGCTTGATAGTTCATCTCCCATTGAAGTAACAATACACCAAGATAATGCTGTAGTTTGGGGAGGATTTACTATATTTTATATAAATATTCATACATAATGATAATGCTGACTATCTTTTGGCATGTAAAGATTTATTCTCATTCATTTTAAATAAATAATAAATTAAGAAATAAATAGCTTATTAATATTCATGAGCACTTATGATATTATTCTATTATTTTTTATAGTTCTGCTCTTTTTAATATAATCTACTTTTTTAATAATTAATTTTCTTCAATTAATGCCTTCATAAATTATGAATCATCACTAACTACATTCTTAGGTAAATGATATCCTCTATGATTAAAATCATCTCTTGAAGTAAAAGATACTGTATAAGCATTTGGTTTGTGTAGGACAGGAGTGATAGATCTTTATTATTGTACCCTTGGAATTTATTATTTAGCAATATATTATGTTTGAACAAAAATTGGTTACCGCTAAAATGCCTATGTTATTGATTATTAGTACATAATTATTTTAATTATTAAAAACATATTAGGAGAAATATTTCATTAAATTTAAATATAAAATATTGTTAAACAACCTTTTATATAGATATATGTTTAATAAAAATTAAATTAAGACAAATATTATTAAGTAATTTTTAGAATAGAAATTATTTATATAGTTTGTTAAAAATTTTCAGTTTATTTGTAATTAATTTGTATCTTATAATATAAAAAATACTAAACATATTTTCAATTTAATATATATAAAATAATAGTGTATTAATATTTTTGAATAGTTTAGAATACAAAATTAAAATCTAACTCAATTAATATACTCTTATTATATATAATAAAGTACAATTATTACTTTTTTTGTTTATTACTTTAATTTGATAATACGACCTAAATATTAAATGATAATCAATTAATATTCATTTGATTACATCATATTATTAATTAAGAATTAGTATTATTAAATATAATAATTGTTATGGATAAGATAAACAAATATAAAGTTAACTTATAATTTTACTTATGTTTTTAGTTTAATTTAAGTATGATAGATTTAATATATATTTTGTAGAATTTTACTCTAATGATATATAAATGATTTTAAGATTAGTTTAAAATTTAATTGTTAATTATATTTTAACAAATAGGATTTCATTTTTTTACATATGTAATTGTATTTAATAATATTGATGTTCAAAAATAATCAATTATTAATATCGCTAAAATATTTATGAAATGTATCATAATAATAATTATAATATGAAAGTTAATCGATTTTGTTTTATCATTAATTATTGCGTAAGATTTAAATATATATTGTATGAAGATTGAAAATATTTTAAATATGTAATTGATAGTTAGAAAAGAAGAAATGAACATGTTTGTAATCATCATTATTTTATTTCACATGTTATATGTTTGTTATTTCTCATAAAAAACTTATTTCTCACCAACCCAAGATCTTTATTATCTTCTGTATTATCCATTTTAGAATAGTAATCTTCCTCTTTTTTACGAGGGTCTGTACAGAATTTTAGATTTTTTGATCTTAGAAAGTTTAGAATTGCTTTTATTTAAGGATTTGGTCTATGGTATAGATCCAATTCTAAAGAATCTAAGCTGGAATTTAAGTCCTCCTACATTTAATATATAAATTTTCAATTAAGCAAATCAAATATATTTTTAATATGAAAAAAATACATAGTTGTTAATTACAGACCTTAGGTTTCATAAAAAACTATTAATCAGACTCAAATTCAAACAATATCATTAATCACACTCTTTATCATAAATATGCATCCTCGTAGAATTACTATTATACAAGAGAAATTAACGAGATTTTAAGTAAGCAACGAACTTCATCTGTAATTTTGTTTTAAGTATCAAAGCGATCTAATAATAGGATTATTTGCATTATGATGATGAGGATGAATATCTTAAAAGATTTTATATTTATGAGGTATATGATAATAAAATGAAATTGCTTAAAGAGTTTTATAAATTTCATAAGGATCTTCCAAGATTTACATTAACTAAATAAATACTATAAACACTAAATTATTATTATGATAAGCGTAGAAAATTAGATTATTATAGAATCTAGAGATAAATAGAGTTTGAAAATAAATAAAATCCTTAATTACCTTAAAAAGGAATAGTTGGAGATAAACCAATAGAAAGTTAAAGTACACCTAAATCAGAAAGTAGTTCAACATCAAATATGAATACTAATGTTGAAAATATACTTAAAGATATTACTAGATAAGAATCAAAACAATAAATTGAGATCAGTAAAATAACATAAATTTAAGAGGAATAGTAAAGTGAGATCATTAAAATAATTAATATGATTAGTACACCATAAATAAAGAATTATTAAGTATTCAAGAAATCTAAAGCTAATTTCAAGAAACATTTAAAACTTGATGAATTAGGTTTATCATTATCTTCAAGAATATAATAAAATCCATAAGAAGCTAAAATGCCACTTTCAGCTCGATATCCTTCATATTCATTAAGTAGAGTTAATTACAAACATTAATCATTATCAAAAGAAAAGACAGCTGATACTCATTTAATAAAGGATAATTTATTATAATTATTTAACAAATGTCCAACTACAAAAAAAATTAAAATAGAAAATAAAAGTAGTTCAAAAAATATATAATTAGATTAAAAAAAATTAATACCTGAAATAAAACAATTAGAATTGAAAATTATTAAATCATTATAAGAAATTGAGAAAAATAAAAATACTCAAAAAATAGTATCTTTAGATAGTAAAGCTTTACATTAAATACTTAGTAAATTTAATTAACCTTTATCTTAAAGACATATTTAATAAGTAGATTCATTTAAAAGTACTTCAAATCAATCTATTAAAATAACTAATAGTAAAATTGCTATGTAAAAGGCATATACACCTAGAAATAAATTTATGAGTCAAAAAAATAATGAAATCAATTCTTAATAAACAAAAAAATCTATTGAAAAATAATAATAATTAGTTAAAGCACTTGATCTAAAGAAATTAATGATTTATAAATCTGAGAAATCTGCTAAAACAGAAAGAGTTAAAAAGAATGTTCCTGTTTTGAATTTAAATGCAGTTTAAAATAATAATTAATCTTCTCTTACATCTAGAAATTAAAGTGGTAATCCAAGCTTCATTTAATTATTAACTCCAAAACCATAAACAAGTAGATATAAAGTTAATAATTTAATACATTGGTAAGTTAAAGCAATTTAAGCGGCATAGAGAGAATATAAATTATAATTAAAACCTTAATAAATGAAAATAGAACAATTAATTTGATATTATATGAACTAATTTTAAATAGAAATTATTATAATTAATTATCATTAAAAAAATTTAACTTCAATGTCAAACATAAATTAAGATCTCTTACAAAAAGTTATTGAGCTAATAAACAGTTAACCATCCATTTATTAGTAATTAAATACAACAGAACTTGATAAAGGAATAGATCTTATTGATATATATTCTGTTTATGGAGATGTAGATTAAAATATATATGAAGAACCAGGCGAAATTCAATTTAATTTTGAAATGGAATAAGAATAGCCAAATGAAGAAGTTAAAGAATGTATCCCATAATAAAATACTAAAAAATAATAAATCACATTAGATTATATTAAAAATTATGATAAATGTGATTAAGTGTTTAGAACAATAGCTGAAACTTAAGGAGAACTTGAAGTATTTTTGGATAGGAATCAAGAAATATATAGATAATTTAAAATTTGGAATGATTAATTAAATTATGGTGAACTTTATTCTAAAGACCCAAAATACATAGAAAAGATTAAATTTACATTAATTCTTGTAATAATCAATAAATTATAATTAGTTATCTGAATGGTTAATTGCTGTATGTTATAAATCATAAGTTAAAAAAAGAATTTTAATTCAAACTTAAACTTAACCAAGAGTGTAATATAAGGCAAATATATTTTTGGAATATATTTATGAAGCTAAAAAAATGAGTGAGAATAGAAGAATAAATGAAGTTAAAAGATAAACTGTACATGAAATTTTATTAGCAGCAACTCCAGATATGGCATATGTTCTGTCTGAAGGATTTATTATTTCAAAATTAACTAATTAATTAATTGCTCCTATTTAAGGAGATTTTTGTAGAATAAAAGATTGGTTGATTGCTGTTCGTAATGTAACAAACTTAAATATTAAAGAATTTTAAGAATTACTTAAAATAAGTAGAGAATATTTTTCTGAATAGAGTACTATTTGATTTTTATATATATATATAAATTAATTACAAATATAAAATAGATATCAATCAATCAATTGATGAAACTAATGAATATATTTAATAGTAAACAGATTCCATTTAATCTTGTGATTCATGTGTTTAATATTATGCATCATATAAGTAGTCTATTTATTCAATTAAATCCTCATATAATGTATTACAGATTTATAATTATCCAATAAGGTTAATTTTAATCAATCTATTAGATAATTCTAAGATTTTATTTTATTTTTATTTAAATTACTGCTTCTCTTCTTTTCTTTCATTTAAGATTTCCTCATAATAAGGATAAGGAGTGATAAGCATAGGAGCAGTATCTTTTTAACAATAATTATTTAAAATATCTTTTACTTTAACTCTCTATTGATATTTTCCATTTTTTTTATTTTTATAGATTTAATTTTAGATATTCAATTATTATTATTGAACATGAGCAAAATTTTATAACATTTACTTACCTATAACATTGTTATTCTTTTTTTACTAATTTTTATTTTATTTTAGATGATCAATAATTTTTCTCACAGCCATTTTAAATACTGCTCTATGTTTCCATTTTTTTTCTTATTAATGTCCAAATATATTTCTTAATAATTTTTTATGAATTTATTAAAAACTTTCTTTAATGACATTAGCTTTGAATTATTTTTCTAGTAAATACTTCTTATAAACATATTATGTCATTGGATCTCCTTCTATTACATTGATTCTTTTCAATTATTTTGCATTTTCTATTTAATAATATAAAGTATAAATACTTTTAATTCTAGCAACATTTTCTTAAAGTAAAAGTTTTCTTCTTAAACCCAATTATTCAATTTCAAAAAGTAGTGATTCATCTTCTTAAATTAATTATAAGAATTGTGAAATGGGACACATTATTACTAATGAATCTTTACATGCAACTGCAGACTGTTTTCTATAACAATCTTCTAATATTTCAATTTCACCAAATATATATCCTTCTTATATATTTAATAAAGTGTTCCCTTATTCATCACATAATCGTACTTCTCCAGAAACTAAGAAAAAGACATCTAAACTTGGAGATCCATTGTAGTAGATAGTGTCAAATTATTTAAAATTGTACATTGTAAAATAAGGCAGTATGGCTGCAGCAAAATTAATGTTGAAAGCAAACATACTGACATTTTCAATTAATTACTTTTGACAAAATGCTATAGCAAAGATCTTTTATTAAGATGGCAATGTTTCTATTATCCTAAGATTCTTATTTATATATACAATTTACTTTCTGTAATTCCAAAAAGGATTATTCTCAATGTTATATTAAAAGTAAGAAAATAACTGATTACTCAAATCTTCTGGAATTATGATTTTCTACATTAAAGTTTCCAAAGCATCTAAATCTTCTTCAAATCCATCTGTTGATGATTATTAATCTAAAATATCTGCTAAATTTCCTATTGTTAATGAATAGAATCCAACCCCTATGAATATCCATATGATAGTTAAATTGTATTACATTGAAGTAGTCAAAGGTATGTCTCCATATCCAATAACGGTGACTGTTTATATAGCCCAGTATAATCCTTATATATATATTGATAAATTATTATCTTATGATTCTAATCCTTCATATAGCAAAACTGCATGAAAAAGACAACCAAATAAACTAATGAAAATTAGCATATTTTTGAATATTTTCAAAATACTAAAAATTTTGCCATCTAATTAAAATAGTTTTTCAAAATATTCAGATTTTTCTAAAGAATTATGAGATTCTTAATAGATATATCTTTCATTATAACAAAAGTATTTAAAAAATCTTAATAATTTAAATAGATTTAATCCCATTAAATGAAAGAATGTAGGAGCAAATAATTTATAGGGAATAATGCTTATGATATCAAAGATAAACCATCTTTATAGGTTGAATAGAAAGATATCACTAAATGTGTTGATTAAATTGTAATTATTATCTATTTGACAAGTTATTTATTTTAAGATTATATCAATTAAATAGAGTCCATCCAACAAAAATGTAATTATTGTTAATGAATCCTAAAATAAATAAAAGATTAATCTATACAAATTCATTAAAATCAGAAAGACTTATATAGATTGGATAAAGCATTAATGTGACTGCTGTTTAAAGCGACATGAATTGTTTCCACAAATATAACTGGTCTGGATAAAAGGGCAACTTTTACCGTTTCCTATGAATCTATTTTGATTGATATATAATTTCTTGTTTTTTTTGTTTGTTAACATATCTAAAGAATTATTGTAATATGTTTAATTTTCGAACAGCCTTCTCAAATTTCATTTTGATTGGTTTTTCTTAAAAGTAATTAATAACATCGTCTTAATTTGTTTAATCCTAATACATAAATAAACTATGTTTTGGACTTAAGATATGTCTATTACTATTAGCACTATAAATAATAATGAAATTTAACTTTTTTGGAGATTGAATGATAAGAGATGTTTCTTTAGATGTCTATTTACTTTATCGTATTGTGTAAAATAGTTTTAGTGAACTAAAGTATTAAATATAGATTATTACTCTAGTTCTGTTTTGTATTCTTTGAGGTCAATAGGAAATGAGCTATTTGGATGAACTTATCCAATACTCATTAATATGTTAATTATACTAATATATACAATAGCTTATTGCTTTTAAGCTGACAATACATATGTTACTCATGTATTTGATAAAGTAGTAGACAACAATTATACAAGGTATCCTGAACTGTTTGCAGTTCAAAATATTTATGATTCAGTCTCTAAATAAATAACTCTAAAAAGTATACTTTTTTATTCTAATTTTCAGGTGGTAGAAAAGTGTTATGTTAAATCCCTATACCTCATATAACTAAACCATTTTAGATAGACAAATTAACAATTGTAAGAAATCTAACAGATGAGGATATCAATCATATACTTTTTCCATTAGAAGATTAATGTGTATAACATTACACTAAAGAATTTGTATATGAATATTGTTTCAAAAAATACATTCGTCAATTTGATGATCTTAATACCATGCTTAATATGAAAAAATAAGTATATTTCATTTTAATAATCTAGTATAAAGAAGATTTCAGTCTAGGAATTTCTAAATCATATATTAGAGCCACTGATGAAACTAATGGTATTCATTAACCTGATCATGCCCTTTATGTAATTGATACACATTATCATCAAATTATTAAGTAAGTTGATTAATTGATTATCATTTCTGAATGTACTGCTAAATTGAGAAATTATACCAAAGTTTTGTTAAAAAATTATGGATATAAGCTTACTGTAAATACAATCACAGCAACTTTCCATTTTGAAATTGCACTTGTTATACATAGCTAATTATTACTTCTTAAATAGTGTGCAGATTAAATTATCATTTCTGATTCTTTTGATTTTTAACCATTTGATGAATTACAATAGAAGATTCTATCCAATTAATATTACTAATATAAAAATATCATATTTGGATTGAATCTTAGAGCCTAAGAAATGTTCCATCCATAATAAAGTTTAGGTGTTGTCTTTACAGAACATGTTCATATAGTATAAGTAGAAAAAATTATAGATTTTTGTGCTATCTTAGTTACAGGTAATTCTTTTAGAAAAAAACCAAAACCTATATTTCAAATTAAGAATTTAATATTAATGGATACTAATGCTATTTATGTAGAAATGAAGAGACCTATTATTATTATAGAAAATTATCTATTTTTTGAATGGGTAGATTAAATGGATGTTAATGATTATGTAACTATTTTTGAAAACACTACTTAAGTTTTTAGTTATGTTGAAACATTCAAAATAATAGGTTATTAAAATGGTATGGCTACTTTAGATAAATAATTAACAAAAGGTCTTAGATATTAAGGTAAAGCATTCATAAAAAGAAATGGTTAATATAATTATGCTGAAAACATAACTCTTTTTTAATAGAATTCAACAGATAATATTGATTAAGAATATTTAGATTTCTCTTAAATTGAACATGATTAAATTCAACTTTACTTATTTAATAATTCTTAATAAGGAA